GAGAGGGCCTGAAGGCCGCGGGGGCCAGGGTAAAGCTCATCCTCCTCAGTTGGCCTTTTTTTTTTTTTTTGCTTTTTGGGGTTACTCCTGGCTCATGCACTCAGGAATTACTCCTGGCGGTGCTCAGGGGACCTTATGAGAATCAAACCCGGGTCAGCAGCGTGCAAGGCAAACACCCTACCCGCTGTGCTATCGCTCCAGCCCCAGGCCTTGTTTTTTAAAGACCTTTTTTTTTTTTTAAAAAAGAATTTTGGGCCTCACCCAGCTTCATTTAGGGCTTTATTTCTGGGCCTGCACTCAGGAATCACTCCTAGTGATGCTAGGGGAACCATAGGGGATGCTGGGAATCGAACCTGGGTCAGCTGTAGGCAAGTGCCCTACCCTCTATACTATTGCTCTTGCCCCTCAAATAGGCCCCCGCCCCCCCACCCCCCATCACGCACTTTTATTTTTTCCTTTTTTGCGATTTAGGTTACACCTGGCACGCTCAGGTGTTACTCCTGTCTCTGCACTCAGGAGTTACTCCTGACAGACCCAGGGGACCATATGGGATGCCAGGGCTTGAACCTGGGTTGACTGTGTGTGAATCCAACACCTTATCCACGGTCCTAATTGCTCTGGCCCCATTGGGCTCCAGGAAAGTTTCATTCGTGACCGCGTCTCCCGGGGGGGTGGGGGGAGGGGGTATATGCATGCTCAGCCCCCAGTGAAGGTCTCAGGCTTCTGGAAGAGGAAGTTACAGGGCGGCTGTGGCCCTTCCTAGATCAGTGGCCCTGCACGAGCCACTTCTGTACATCCTTTTGTCTCTCCATCCCTCTGTGCAAGGAGGGTAGCCACAGCTGCCTTAGGTCATTTCTGTGATGGGTACAGACGGGAAAGGCAGTGAAAGACTGTGAAGACGTTAGATCTTCCTTTCACTCCAGGGAACTTTGTTAGTTTTCCCTATTTAATGAAAACAAAAACTCCACTAGATCCTCCCTCCTAGGGAAGGGAATAGGCTAATGCTCTTTTGCTTTGCCCCTGGAGCATTTTTCTTTTAAGAGCACAAACTTGTCATTTCCTCATCCCCCCCACTTCTGACCTCCGCCCATTGGTTGGAGGGAGCAACCAGTTCTGGCTTTGTCCCTCGGAATTCTCCGAGACCTGGGCACTGACAATAGAGGAAAAAAAGATCTCGAGAGGACTTAGCTTCTGGCCAGCGAAGGTCACAAGCAGCTCTTGTGACAAGCAGCTCCAGGAATTTTGTCTGGAAGGCCCATTTTGTAGACTGCCCCCCCCCCCCCGCCTCCCTCCCCCCTGGTGGCTCAGCGGGCCTGGAATTCTCCTGTTTTCCAGCGGTGAGCCGTTTAAGGATGTGAAGAAAGGTGGAAGCTGGGAGTGAGCTCGGGTCAGAGGGTGCTCTCGGTGCCTCACACATCTGTGGGCTAGGGTGTGGAGCGAGAAGTCATGGGACCTCCCCCCGCCCCCCCCCACCTCTCTTGGTTTCCATAACTGTGGAGCTCCCTCCGCTGGTCGGTCAGGGAGGCTGAGTCAGAGAAGCTGAGCACTGGAAAGGAAGCAGGCGCTGAGCGAGGGGTCATGAAGGAGAAGCATAATCCTGCTCCTGTTCAGGAGGAAACACTGTGGGTGAACAGGCACCAGGGTGGGGGGCAGAGCCTGCGGCCTGAGACCTGAGGAGTGGAGGAAGGAGGGGAGGCAGGGAACTAGGACAGCTAGTGATCAGTGGCATAGGCAGGCAGTCCTACCCCTGGGGGGCTGCTGGGATAATCCAGGTGCAATTAAGGGGTGCTTTTGGGTTGTGGTAGATTTCTAGGGGTTGCTGTTTTGTTTTTCGGAAAAGGAGACAGTGTGGGGAATTCCGAGCTCACCCAGCGTTCCCAGCGGGGAGCTCACCCAGCGGGGAGATGTGTAAAGACATGGCTCTGGAAAGCAGCCGGAGCAGGGAGACGTGTCTGAAGCATTCTCCGTTTATTAGGGGCCGGAGCGAGCGGATGGCGGGGAGGGCGTTTGCCTGGCGGGGAGGGCGTTTGCCTGGCATGCATCAGACCCGGTTGGGTGCCCGCCGCCCCATATGGTCCCCTGAGCACTGTCAGGAGTAATTCCTGAGTGCAGAGCTAGGAGTCAGCCCTGAGCATCGTCAGCTGTGGCTCCCAAATGAAATAAAATCTCAGTTATTAATTTCTCTTACTGGTATTGCGATGATTATTTCAGTTTGGGACCACAGCCAGGCTGTGCCCAGGGGTCACTCCTGGAAGGATCGGTGCAGGGGAAGCCCATCGGACCACCTCCCTCTGTCCACAGCACATGATCCTCTTCGGAAATCTGAAAGTTGGGTGGGGGGAGTTGCGCGGGGAACACTGGCCCCGCTACTGGCAGCGTGAGGCTGAGGCCACGGCGGCTGTCCAGGTGAGAGACTGCAATGGTCCTGGGAGGCGGAGGAAGCCAAAGTGACAGTGGCTGGTGTCTGTCCTGTGGGAGCCGCAGGACCACTTCACGACAGGAGGCAGCTGTGGGGATTTGATTGGCATCAATGCAGGCACTGAACTCAGGGACCTAAAATGATTCTTAAAAACCAGGGCACCCACCGGGGAGGCAGAGTCTTGGCTTTCTTGGTGTTTTTTATTTTTTCCTTTTAATATAATTATAAGTCGTGTTAGTGAATTTTAGAATGGGCACTGTATGTCAAGTTATGATTTCCCCTGAGTGGGAATATACCGTGGCTTATAATTATAGCAGTCTTTACCTCATTTTTAGATTATTCTTATTTTAGAATACTACCATTTGAAAATCTAATTGCTGCAGACTACATATTTAGAATGACTTTGCTGTGATCATAGAATAATTTAAATTTTATTTACCAAATGAGATAACACTTGGCTTTGCTCACTTTGCTTTCCTGCGGTGTGCTTTTCAAAGGCAGTTACCTTCAAAATCAAGACAGATATAAAGTCTACATTTTTTCCCTCTTTATTACAATGATAGTCTATTGTTTATATTTGGTTTGGGAACCACACCCAGCAATGCTCAGGGGTTACTCTTGGCTCTGCACTCAGGGATCACTCCTGGCAGTGTTGGGGGGTCCATAGAGGATGCCGGGGATCAAACTCAGGTTGGCTTTGTGCAAGTCAAGTGCCCTAGATGCTGAAGTGTCTTAGAGAAACTGCTTTTGTGATCAAAATGCATCCAACTGTGTTTGGTTGAGTGATCCACATTTGAACATAGGATTTCCCCCAATACAGCTTATGCCCCCTCTCCCCGATGAGGCAGACCCCCGGGGAGAAGGGACACAGGTCTCCTAAGGTCCGGGTGGAAGCTCATTGCCTTTTCCCTTTAGGTGCAAACTTAGGGCTTCCTCTCTGCCTCCCAGGGGACGTCCCCTTGAAAATCCCAAAGTGTTTTCTGGAGGGAAAGTCTGGAAGCCTGCTTGTCTCTGCTTCCAAGGGAAACTCTTTCTGGTGTGCTAATGAGAAAGGGAAGCGGGGAAACACACACGCACACACACACACACACACACACACACACACACACACACCCCTTCATTGACTCTGTTCCTCCTATGACAGTTCTCCTGATCTCCTTCCTCGGAGCCCCAGATGTCAGATGCATTCAGTATTGTCCCTAAATTTCAGGCCTTTACCAGCAGGCAGGGTTGGGGATTCTTTCCTTGGGCCCAAGGCTGGGGGCAGGGAAGTGAGTGCATTAGAGGGGTAGGCTGCTCCCTGAAGCAGGAGGAGGAGGAGGTTGGCCTGGATAACCTCCAAGGCTTCTCCCCCTAGCACCCCCTTCAATTCTGTGTATAAAATGATGACCCATTGGCCGGACACTTGCCTTGTACATGTGTGACATTGCACTGGGCCTGGGACTGCAGAAGTGCCGCCTCTGGCTGAGAGTGCAGGAATTCTCTGGTTGGGTAAGGGTGGGTGGTTGCCTGGGGAGCCCAGAGGTAGCCTCCCACTGGTCTCCAGGTCACAAACCTCCTTGTCAGGGCACTGGTGGGAGACAGTCTCTCCCCGGGGGCCCCACCCTCAGGCACAGTGACTCAGGAGTGGGTGCAGCTGTGTGCTAATAAAACTTTATGTGTAAAGGTGGTTGGTTACACCACTTCTCAAGGGAGAGGTCGGCAGCCTGTCTCAGACCCTACAAACTGAGGTTCGTGGTCCTGGCCGGATCATCACCAGGCTCGACCAGACACCGCTCCAACGTTGGAGATGTGACGCTGACTGGCCTTGTTTTGTTCCTAGGCTTGTTTTATGGGAAGCACAGTCAGGAGTGTCTGCCAGGGAGTGGAACTAAGAGCAGAGCATTTCCAGCCCCGTGGCCGGGAGAGCTGGTGCTTCACCACTTTTGTCTTTGTGGACCAAAAAAAGAAGAAAAAAAAGTCTGTTGAGATAGGATGTGCAAATAGCTCATTCACCAACACCCCTGGTCCCCATTTTTGGAGACCTCGGAACCATGCCCCAGAGGCCCTCACCGTGCGTGTCCCTTCTCCTGTCCTGAATATTCTCAAGGCATCTGACTGCTGTCTCCTGGGAATTCGTTGGCAGAAAGGGCAGTGGAGTTGCTTTCTGCGTCGGTGTTGGCGGGTACCACCAGAGGCTCACGGTGCGATGCCACATCTGACAGGCTGTGCTAACAGAAACGATTATTGGTGCCTGGATTTCCTATTATACGTTAATTCGACGCCACCCCACAAAGCGCGGGACAGAGAACGATGCTGCCAGCTGAGAACCACAGGGCATTTGGGCAGGGAGGCAGCTGCTAAGGGGTCACCCCCGGAAACCGTCCTGGTCGCCAGCAAACACACAGAGCCATGCCCTTTAGAATGGGCAGGTTCTGGGACAGCGGCCCCTGCGTCTTTCTTGGGGATAAAGAAAGGCTTTATTTTCCTGCGTGCTGGAAACCTGTGACTTCCGCTCCAGCCAGGACGCCCCAGGGACGAGGGACACTTGCTTGCTCCAGAAGCTGGGGTTTCAAGCCTGGCATTGTTTTACACGTTGCAGGAAGAGGTGATATCCAGCCGCAGTTGGACAGCGCGCTCCAGGACGTGAACGATAAGTATCTGCTGCTGGAGGAGACGGAGAAGCAGGCTGTCCGGAAGGCGCTGATCGAGGAGCGCGGCCGCTTCTGCGCCTTCATCTCCATGCTGCGGCCCGTGATTGTAAGTGCGCCGGGACACAGAGGGGGCACGTCCCAGTGGGACTCTGTTCCTGGGTCTCCGTCCTCCTTGTCCCGTGTCCTTCATCTCCCCAAGCCAGGAAGGCCTCGCCAGAGTGGCTCGCAGCGTTATGGGCCCCAGGTCTGCAGCAGTCCCCCAGAAACTGGGGAGAAATGCAGATTCCCAAATCAGAATCTCTGGAGGAGGGGGACCTGCTTGTCTGGGCTTGCGAAACGCGTCAGAGAGAGCTCAGAGGCCTAAAATGCCCAGCCTAGCTTGCAGGAGACCTCAGTTCCATCCCTGGCACTGCCTGGCAGGGCCCCATGAGCACTGTCAGGTTGGCCCCAATGGTCCTCAGTATGGCCAGGCCCAAGTCAAGCCATGGACCGCCAGCCCCATACCAGTGGGACAAGGATCATGGGGAATGGTTCTTAGGTCCCCAAGCACTGCTGGGGAGGCTCTTCAGTGCTCTTTGGGTACCTTTGAGGCCCACTGGCCAATCTAAAGGCCCAGGGGTGACTATGAAATGTACATGGAAGATTCAGCAAGTCAGTTGGGATTTATTGTTTTTGGCAGGGTCAGGAAGAGCAGAAACACAGCTGACAGTGCTCAGGGCTTACTCCTGGCTCTGTACTCAAGTGTCCCTCCTGGCGGGACTCAGGGGGTCAGTTAAACAAGGAATGATCACATGCAGAGCAAGAGCCTTTTTTTTTTTTTTTTGGCAGGGGGTTGGTGGTCATACCCAACAATGCACAGGGATTACTCCTGGCTCTGCACTTAAGAATTACTCCTGGCGGTGCTTGGGGGGACCATATGGGATGCTGGGAATCGAACCTGGATCGGCTGCATGCAAGGCAAACGCCCTACCCACTGTGCTATTGTTTCAGCCCCAAAAGAGCCTTTCTTAATCTCCAGTGCAGGCAGCTACCCTGAGTTCCATCCCTGGCACTCCATGCAGCCACCTGCGCCCTCCAGAAGGATCCCTGAGCTCAGAGCTAGGAGGAAACCCTGAGCACTGCTGGGTGTAGCCCCCAAACAAATAAAGCAAAAGCACAACACTGAAAACACAAGACAGGAGCAGAGGGGGCATCGGATCCCTGCTCACTGCCCTCTGCCCTGCATGCCCCAGGACTTGCTCCCTGGGCGTAGAGTTCTCATGGGTTGGTCAGTCTTGCCTGGGCCCACCCTCCTGGGCTGGCACTCAGGAAAGCGTCGGGCTTTCTTCTGTCGTCCCCCAGCCTGTCTCACTCGCTATGGTGACAGGGCAGAAAGGCAGGAGAGAAGCAAGCATTTTGCCTCAGGTGAATGACCAGTGCAGTCACCAGTCTCTCCTGCTGGCTCTGAACTAGAGTATCTCGAGATCCCTGGTGCGCAGTGACCCATGCCTTCGAGGAAGCTGTGTGTGTGTGTGTGTGTGTGTGTGTGTGTGTGTGTGTGTTGGGGCCACACCAGCCTCTGACGGTGCTCAGGGCTCACTCCAGCTCTGCTCACTCTGTGTGTGTGTGTGTGTGTGTGTGTGTGTGTGTGTGTGTGTGTGTGTGTTGGGGCCACCTGCTTCTGAGGTGCTCAGGGGTCACCCAGGCTCTGCACTCAGGGATCACTCCGGGGTGCACACAGGTGGTGAGCCTGACAGATTTTCTTCTCCTTCCCCTTGCCCCAAAGAGGGGGCTGGGCATGCCTGCAGCGAGACGCTGTCTGGGCGTCTTCCCTGGGATGCTGAGGGTCAGGCAGCGGCACCACGGGGACACGTTGTCCCCCTCCCTTCCCCTCAGGAGGAGGAAATCTCCATGCTGGGGGAGATCACACACCTGCAGACCATCTCGGACGACCTGAAGAGCCTGACGATGGACCCTCACAAGCTGCCCTCCTCCAGCGAGCAGGTCAGTGGGCGGGGGCGGGGGTGGTGACAGGTGCTGGGAGAGTGGCTGCTGTGATCAGCTCCTGGTTCCCACTGTGGGGTACAGTCATCACTAGCCATGTTGGGGCACCCCCGACCATGGGCCAGTCCCTGCTCTGGACTCTTCCACACGCGTCCCTAGCTCCTCTCCCCAGTACCCCCTGCTTTATAGAGGAAGTCGCCAGGGACACTTTACCGGGTGATGTAGCTAATGAGCGGGAGACCTGGCCTGTGGGGGACAGCACCCACGCCCTCAGCCACTGTCCACCCTCTGGAAATCAGCTCTCCTGGGAGCAGACCAGTGGTGTGTTTGGGGGGACATTGTGAACCGTGGTATATGGGGTCTCACATTATGAAAAAAAAAGATCGTGTTTAAAGATTTTATTTTGGAGGGGACAGAGCCTTGCTTAACAGAGTGCAGTGGATAGGGCATTTGCCAGCACGCGGCCAACCTGGGTTTGAGCCCTGACATCCCACATGGCCACGTGTGCACCGCCAGGAGTTGCTCCTGAATGTAGAGCCAGGAGTAACCCTTGAGCAAACCAGTTGTGACCGAAGAAGCAGAGAAAGAAAAAAGAAACTATACTGGTTTTTGATTCCGCCGCCCCTCTTGGAGAGCCCGGCAAGCTACCGAGTGTATCTGGCTTGCATGGCAAAGCCTGGCAAGCTCCCCGTGACGTGTTCAATGTGCCAAACACAGTAACAACAAGTCCCATGATGGAGATGTTACTGGGCCCCCTCAAGCAAATTGATGAATAACGGGAGGACTGTGACCGTGATACTGGTTTTGGGGCCACATTTGAGCAGTGCTCAGGACTGACTTATGGCTCTGTGCTCCGGGAGAGCTCCTGGCAGGGCTCTGGGGACCAAATGGGGTGCCAAGATCATATGCTAGGCAAGTGGCCTAGCTGCAGTGCCATCACTCTGACCCATGTTTGTGGTTCTGATGTTGAAAATACCAGCACCCGTGTGTCCAACACCCTGCCATGCTGGGAAATGACTTTTTCTGGACCTCAGCCCCATGTCCACTCTGGAGATGTTTGTTCAGCCACTGCTCTGTGAATGAAAAATGAACTCACTCAGGCATCTCTGTTAAGCAAGGCGGTCCGGCAAATAATCATGAAAAGATAGGTTTGCCCTTCAGCACGTGCTGGGGGAAAAGGCAGCTCAGATAGAGATGGGATGTAAAGGATGTTTGGAGGACTCGCTCAGGATGCGTGCTGAAAGTAGACTATAGACCGAACACAGTGGCCACTCAATACCTCTACTGCAAACTACAAGACCCTGAAGGAAAGAGTGAGCAAAAGGGAATGCCCTGCCATAGAAGTGGGGTGGGGTGGGAGAGCAGTTGGGTTCATTGGTGGTGGAGAATGGGCACTGTGGAGGGATGGGTACTGGATCATTGTATAACTGAAACCCAAACACGAAAGTTTGTAAGTCTACAACTGTACCTCACGGTGTCTCACTAAAAAAAGATAGGTTTGCCCTAAAGTCAGCTATTAAAGTATCTAAAATGCCCTGGGGCTGGGGAGATAGGAGAGTGGATAGGGCACTTGCCTTGCATCCAGGCTCAATCCCGGCATCTTGTATGCTCTCCTGAATCCCCACCAGGGGTGATGCCAGAGCACAAGAGTCAGGAATAGCCCCTCCGGCACTGCCAGGTGTGGCCCAATCCTGCCACCACGCCCCCCACCCCCCAAAACTCTCAAAATGTCATATTTGATTTTCTCCCAGCCCAAAATGATGCCATGCTGTAATAGGTGTTAGGATTCTAACACGGGCTCTTGTCTCGCTGTCTCTGCTCCTCCAGGTCATTCTGGACTTGAAAGGTTCCGATTACAGTTGGTCTTACCAGACGCCTCCTTCTTCCCCCAGCACCACCATGTCTCGAAAATCAAGTGTGTGCAGGTACGTATGTAGAGCTGAGCTCCAGCCCTGCTGCCCCTGGGGCAGCCATCTGTATGTCAGCGCCCTTAAAATGCCGCCTTTTGCCCAGATCATGGCGAGATCAGAGATGTGCTGAGAGAAATCCCACTTGGTGTGTGTTAGCATTAAGATTAAGGATCTGGGGGCTGTAGTGATAGCTCAGCAGGTAGGACGTTTGCCTTGCACGCGGCATATTCCCAGCATCCCATATGGTCCCCTGAGCACCGCCAGGGGTAATTCCTGAGTGCAAAGCCAGGAGTAACCCCTGTGCATTGCCGGGTGTGACCCCAAAAAAAGCAAAAAAAAAAAAAAAAAGATTAAGGATCTTTATGGAAGGGCCGGAGAGCCCTCACCTTGCAAGAGACTGACCCAGGTTCCATCTCCGGCACCCCAGATGGGCCCTGGAACTCTGTCAGGAGTGATCCCTGAGCACACAGCCAGGAATAATCCCTGAGTAAAAACCAAACCAATGTCCCCAACCCCTTCCCCCTCCCCCCCCCAAAAAAAAAACCAGTTGGATCTGCTGGGTCTTTATAGGGTAATGTTAGCTGTTTGTATCTGTGTGGGATTCATTTCCCTTGAGTTGGGACCATCCACACTGAGCTGGAAGCTGAGGCCTCTGAGACTGTCTCCTGACCCTCTACAGCTGGAAACTGGGTTTCGGTTTGGTTTGGTTTGGTTTGGCTTGGCTTCGCTTGGGAACCAGGCCTGGCATGATGCAGACAGAGCCCTTTCTGCCGCTGTGCTAGGATTGAACTGGGGCCTCCCACCTGCAGAGGTGTGTGTTTAGCAGCTCTGTGCCCTCTGCTTGGTTACTTGCCATCACGCGTGTGAGGACTGAGCTGCAGGGTGTCTTCTCAGAGCAGGGCCTCCCAGGGGCCTGGACCCCTTCAATGACACCCCCGGGCCCGACTGCTCAGTGCTACAGCTCATTCCCCGGATGTTTGGAAAACACCACCACCGAGCCTCACGCGTCAGGACCGCGTTCTCCCCGCTTGAACCCGTATCTCGCTGGCCTGTGTCCTTGCTTGCTTTTCCCACCTTAGAGAAGCCTCTTGAACACACACATTCTCTCGCTTCAATCTAAGTCGAAGTAGAAACGGTCTTGCTTCACTGAAGAGAAACAAGCCCCCTAGTTCGCGCGCGGCGGGCGGAGACCTGACACATTTCTCCCGCCCCTCGGGCCCCCCCCCCCACGCCTGTCCCCTGCAGCAGCCTGAACAGTGTCACCAGCAGCGACTCGCGCTCCAGCGGCTCCCACTCGCATTCCCCCAGCTCGCACTACCGCTACCGCAGCTCCAACCTGGCCCAGCAGGCGCCCGTGCGGCTGTCCAGCGTGTCCTCCCACGACTCGGGCTTCATATCGCAGGACGCCTTCCAGTCCAAGTCACCGTCGCCGATGCCACCCGAGACGCCCAACCAGGTAAGGCTTCGGGGGGGCAGCAGGAGGCCAGGCCCAGGAAGGACCTTGGTGTGGACAGAGAGGGTGGGGAGGACCTGCCTGTGACATGAGAGCCCTCTGGTCCCGTGGTCTGCTTCAGAGACGTCACCCTGGGTATGACAGCACAGCAGCTCGGGCGCCTGCCCTGCCCGTGGCCAATGTGCATTCGATCCCCGGTATCCTATATGGTCCCCTGAGCCCACCAGGAGTGATCCTGGGTAACCCCTGAGCCCAGCCCGGTGTGGACCCAAAACGAAAGATATCACTCCCCCTCTCCTCCCCCATCCCTGGTTCCAAGCATGGTAACCCCTGAGCACCACCAAGCATGGCCCCCAAACAAACACGATGCCAAGGAGCTAGAGTCTTGCACATTGCTGACCCAAGTTCAATCCCTGGCACCCCATATGATGTCTCCCCAAGCACTACCCAGGAAGAAGTTCTAGAGAGGGGGGGGGGGGGAGAGGAGAGAGAGGAGAGAGAGAAAAAGAAAAAGCAGAGAGAGAGATGGCAACCCCTTGCCCCAGCACAGAAGCCTGGGTTTGGAACCTGTCTCCGTTCATAGCTCTCTCCCTCCTTAGCCAGACTCCCAGGGGCACCTGTGTCAGCACGGGGCTGGCATTCGTGGGCATCTGCAGAAGGATCCTTCCACCTCCCAGGCTCTGATCTGCCTCTGGTTGGTGGAGAGCCTGCTACTGGATTAGGTGTGCCCTGGAACCCTTCCTCAGCCTGGTGCTCATAGGTCCCTGCCTGCAGTTTGTGTTGAGAAGGAGAATCAGTCTTCAGCGTTTCCAGCAAGGTGTTGAATGCCTGTAACCAGAGTTAGTTAGAGGGTGATAGGCCTTGGGTGCAGGTCTAGCCTGAGCAGAAATCAGGTGGGCTGGAGAGATAGCACAGCGGGTAGGGCACTTGCCTTGCATGCGGCCGACCCAGGTTCAATTCCCAGCATCCCACACGGTCCCCTGAGCACTCCTGGGAGTAATTCCTGGGTACAGAGCTAGAAGTAGCCCTTGAGCACAACCGGGTGTGCCCCCCCCAAATAAAAAAAGAAAACAGGCGCTGGACAGAGCATCATTTCTAGAATGCCCTTCCCCTGTTCCCACTCTTCGCCTTTTGCCCCAGTGCTGTGGGTCCACCTCAGCACAAGCCCCTGACCAAGAACCACCCAGGTGCCTCACAGCGCCACCTGCTGGAGGGAAGGTGGTGGCGTCCTTCCCTGGTGAGTTCTTTTTTTTTTTTTTTTTAATTTTTATTAGTGAGACACCATGAGATACAGTTCTTGGAGGCTGACCCAGGCTGGTACCCAAGGTCTCTGCATTCTGGGATCCCGTGCTTGTTTACCCAGGCCTCTGTGTGCCTCAGTCTCTGACTAACTGCTGTGTGCCAGGCTCCATCCTAGAGCCCCTACCTGGGTTCCCTGTGTGGTCCTTTTCACACAGTGGTACAGAGAGAGTTTGGGTTCCTGTCCCCCTCCCCCCCCCACACACACACCAGATTGTTGTGGAAATGAGGGTTCAGGGTCGTACAGTCACAGGACTGCAGGCGGGCAGCCTGGGACAAGGGTTTCTGACAGCTGGGCTGCAGCCTTTCAGAGCTGCTCCAGCTTTGCGGAGGCCCCTGGGGGAGTGTTTCAGGGAGTGGAAGCACCTAGATGTGACGTTCCCTGAGGCACCTTGGCCCTCTCCCTCTGGCGCTGTTCAGTGTCACCGGGTGGCTCCTCTTCCTCCCTCTCTCCCTGGGATAGTGAATCAGCCACAGATGGAAACAGCGGGAGCCAGAGCTCCATCCAGCCCAGATGTGCTCCTCCTGGCCGGGTACTCTCTGCATGTGCCCTGCCACATACAGCCCCAAGTCCCCACCCGTGTGTCTTGCCAGCAGAAGCCCAACTGGTCGGGAGGAAAGCTGCATTTCCTCACAGGCGCTTTTGGTGTGTGGCTCTGCCCTGTGCGTGTGCTTCCTGGCGCGGGGTGGGTAGGTGTTGTCACTCCAGAGAGGGGGCGCCTGCTTCCACTGTCTTGTTGGACCCTGCTGGGATCAGGCCGCGACGTTTCTGCCTCCAGTCTTGCTGAGGGGAGCCAGCGGTGACAGGTGGCGGCTTACTGACATCTGGAAACCAGAGGGGCATGGGGGCAGAGCAAGCTTCCAGGTTTGTGGCAGAATGTGCAAGGGGCGTCTCTCTGCACCGAGAGGCCTGGCGGCTGCTTAGAATTCCAAAATGAAGGGGAAATTTAAGGAGCACGCATACAGCAGGGAGGCCAGCAGACAGCCTGCCCATTCTTGGGGGCGGGAAGGTGGGAGTACAGAGCTAGGAGGAGCAATGTCTCCAGACCTCTCCACTGAGTTACAAGGAGGCCCAGGGTCAGGACACGTTCAGAACCCTCCGGTGCTGCCACACTGGGGGCTCTGCAAATTGGGTCTTAACACACGTATGCAGACACCTAGAGTGTCCCTAGTCAGGGTTCCCACCCTCTTTAGTCCCCCATGGCAAGAGAGTTTTAAAACAAACCCAACTGGGGCTGGAGTGATAGCACAGCGGGTAGGGCGTTTGCCTTGCATGCAACTAACCCAGGTTTGATTCCCAGCATTCCATATCGTCCCCCGGGCAACGCCAGAAGTCATTCCTGAGTGCAGAGCCAGGAGTAACCCCTGAGCATCGCTGGGTGTTACCCAAAAAGCAAATAAATAAATAGATAAACAAACCCAACGAAGTGGAAGATACACAAGGTGCATTTCCCGAGTCAGACTTCTTCCCTCCCCCCGCCCCCCCCATGCCCCAGATCTCTCTCGATGGGGGACTCCTCCCTCCTAAGACAATGCTGTGCTGCCCACTGGGCTTCACTGCCCCCAACCCCTGCCATTTCTCCCCACGCAAAGCTGCCTGGGATCTGGAGGTGACAACAGACTCCAGGAGCTTCTGTCCCGGGCAGATGTGCACCAGGACATGGGGACAGATGGGCCAGCACGGCCCGGGAATTCCAGCCACAGCAGCAGCCACGCCAGAGACGCCGCCCCCCGCCTGGGGCCATGGGGGTGCAGACTCACTGCTTCTTCGGGGGGCTTGAATTCCTCTGGTGGATGCAGCCGGGTGGGGGTGCAGAAAAATAACCCTAACTCTTTGCTTCTCTCGTCCTTCCCTCCTCTGTGTCTGTCTGTCTCTCTGTGCACGCTCTGCCTTCTCTTTATTTTTTAATGGACTGTTATTTTATTTTTTTGCTGATGTGTGGTCCGAATTCTGTCGATTTACCCCCCACGCCCCCACCCATGTGGTCGTCCCCACCCCCCACCCCCTTCTGCTGCAGAACTCGTCCAGCTCGGCCTCTTCTGAAGCCTCTGAAACCTGCCAGTCTGTGAGCGAGTGCAGCTCGCCCACCTCGGTCAGCTCAGGCTCCACCATGGGCGCCTGGGTGTCCACGGAGAAGGTGACCGGCCACGGGCGGGCCCCTGGCTGAGGCCTCGCCAGGCCCCGCAGCAGGGAGCCGGAAGCGCAGGCGACACAGGGACGCCCCCTGGGAGCCAGAGAGGGAAGGACAAGGCAAAGGGGTTTTTCTGGAAATCCGTGCCCAGATCTTGCCCAGGGGGTCCTCAGAGGGAGAGAGGAAAGGCTATGGGGAACTCGGAGTGTGAAAGCTGCTTCCAGAAGTGTCTGCGCCCCTCCACCTGTCCCTCCCCTCCCAAGCACCCCTCCTACCGTGGCCTCCATGTCATATTGTTGGATGGGACATTTCCCCATGGCCCAGGCTGTGCTATTCATTCATTTATTTTTTTTTTTTTTTGCTGGGGGGCGGGGGGCTTCAGTTTGCAAACCTCCCCGTTCATTTCGATTGGGTTTCTGCTCCTGAACAACGTGTGATGATTTTGGAAATCTCCAGTGTTACAGATTTGCTTGGAAGATACACGCTTTAGGGATGGAAACATTTGCAATAAGGGGGATGATGGGGGGGGGGGGGGGTTCTGTCACCGTGAAACGATGACCCATTAAATCTTAACATCATGCAGACCAGATGTTAAGGGCTCCTCCATGATGGAGGAGCCCTGGTCAGCCCCCAGACACTTACACGAAACTGACGGGCTCCGGATTTGGTGCCTTGTGGGCACAGAGTGGGGTGTCTGGAGCAGCAGGGCCCGTGTCTATTTCATTTGTGAATGCGCTGTCCACCCCCGCCTTGAATGTCAATGCCATCTTGTACCTCCATCATCATCCTGTTATATTAATTTTTTTTCCCTTTCCTCCCCCCCTTTTTTTTTCTTTTTGTTTGTTTCCAGTTGTCTAATGGGTTTTCTCACTGTAGTCTATCAAGTGAGTCCCATGTGGGGCCCGTGGGGGCGAGCCTTTTCCCTCCTTGCCTGCCTGCCTCCCGCCTGCTCCCTCGGGTCAGCTCTGCCCACCTTCCAGACTACGCTCATTATTACACCATTGGGCCCGGCATGTTCCCGTCATCTCAGATCCCTAGCTGGAAGGTTTGTGTCTTCTCTCCCCTCCCTCCTCTCCTGGCCTCTGTGCTCACCTCCTCCTTCTGTCCCCCGGTCCTTGCCCTCAGCCCCCTTTCACACTCTGCCTTCTTCCCCATAACACCTCTCCCAGGCAGCCCTCCCGGACGGGGAGCCCAGAAGTGGAGAGGCTGCTTAGATGGTGCCCACAGCCACCCAGAGGCGGCACTGCAGGGGGATCGGGCCAGCTTGGGACAAGTCCCACTGTCTCCCCTCTAGGGGACTGGGTGGCCCTTCTCGGGCCTCGTTCATGGCACCGTAACACAAAAGATGGTTGGGCCGTTGTTTGAATATGGGATGCAGACATCTCGACTTCGGGATGGTCTCATCTTCAGATCCCTGCTTTACTATCAAAGCAGAGCCTGGGGCTGCCATGGGGCACGCTCATCTGAAGAGCAGACCCCAGGCTGCGGCCATCCTCCACAGCTGGGCTGAGGGGCCCCAGCCTTTCTAATGACCCTGAGGCCTTGCCTTCCTCTGTGAGAACTCGGGCGGGGGCGGAGGGAGTGGTGCAGTCCTCAAAGTTCCCTTGGGGACCAACCCCCAATCACCTCAATTTTGCCCCAAGTGGTTGAAGGTCCTGTAGCGCCCACTGGTGGCCACTGCAGTCCAACTGTAGACCTTGGGTTGGAGGAAAGTGGAGGAGGGGGAGGGTGAAGACCCCATACCTGTGCTCCCCACTGGCTGCTGCCTCCAGACCCCTTAGACAGTTGGTCACCTCCGAGATAATTCTTAAGAAGAGCCTCCCCCCGCCCAGGCTGCCTGTCTGGGTATTCAGATAGGCCAAAGGGGTGTTTCCCAGGGAGCCCCGGTGGGGGGCTATCTTTTCCTCCTGAAAGTAGGATGGGGGCAAAGAAGGGGCCTGCTGGCCCGAATCAGCCTGAACTGCCCCCCCCCCCCCGGGGGCCCCACTGCCTTTGCGGGGAGGAGGCAGCAGCCTAGAGGGGCAGCAGCTCCTGCCGGAGCCTGACTCCACTTGCTCTGCTCAGGACTGGGCCAAGCCGGGACCTTACGACCAGCCCCTGGTGAACACCCTCCAGCGGCGTAAGGAGAAGCGGGAGGCGGACGCGAGTGGGGGAGGCCCCCCGGCAGCAGGCGGTGGCCCAGCCCCCGGCGAGGATGCGCAGAGACCCCGGAGCATGACGGTGTCAGCGGCCGCCAGGGTAACGTGCTTGTTTTCTGTGGCCGCCTGGGCCCCCTTTATGCCCTGTGCTCCAGCCGGCATTTGGAGAGGTCCCTGCTGGGGGAAATCCAGGTGGGAATTGAGACACCCAGAATCTTCTAGAGCCTGGTGAAGACCCAAGCGAGGGGCCAGCCTGCGGGCCCACAGGTCACAGGAGCAGCCTGGGAGGATCCCCCAGCTGGGAGGCTCAGGTGACTCACAGCCCCAGTGGCTGATTTTGTCTCTGCTCCTCCTGCAGCCTGGTGAGGACATGGAGGCCTGTGAGGAGCTGGCCCTGGCCCTGGCCCGGGGCCTCCAGCTGGACACGCAGAGGAGCAGCCGGGACTCGCTGCAGTGCTCCAGTGGCTATAGCACGCAGACCACCACCCCGTGCTGCTCCGAGGACACCATCCCCTCCCAAGGTAGGTTGGTGGTGGTGACCCCAGCGAAGCCAGGGGGGGCTCCTTCCCGCTGAGGGGTGGCTGAGACCAAGGGTCTTCACCACCACAAAGGCAGCATTGGCAGATGGGCGGCAGAACAATCCCAGTCTCTGACCAGGCTCGGGACATCCGGTGTCTGGATTTGTGGGGTGGATGGCACGGACAGAAGCAGCCGGAATCCAGCAGCTTCTCGTCAGAGGACAGGGCAGTGCCAGGGTAAACTAGCAACAGTGACTTCATTCTAGGACTCTGTGTCGCATGGGGCATACACATTCCGTGTGTTTGTTTAGATTTGTTTTCCCATTCAGTCTCGAGAACCACTCCTGGTATTCTTCGTCCCGTCTTGCGTGTGTCAGCGTGGGGCTTTGTGGGTTGCTCGGATCCACATCATGAGATAATGTTTGAGACAAAGGCCTATTAACACTGAACTCTTTGTGGGAGCCGGAGTGATACAGTGCCCGCAGTAAGGCACTTGCTGTGCGAGTCGTCAGCCCTGGTTCAATCCCCAGCACCCCATATGGTCTCCTGAGCCCCATCAGGAGTGCTCCCTAAGCACAGAGACACGTGTAGTCACACACTGAGCATTGCTAAGTGTGGCCCAAAAACCAGACCAGAACAAACAAAAAGCAAAGGGCTGCCTGGGCGATTTCTAATCCGTTCCTTTGCTCAGTTTCAGATTATGATTATTTCTCTGTGAGTGGGGAGCAGGAGGCTGAACAGCAGGAGTTTGACAAATCCTCCACCATCCCGAGAAACAGTGACATCAGCCAGTCCTACCGACGGATGTTCCAGGCCAAGCGCCCAGCCTCCACCGCAGGCCTCCCCACCACCCTCGGACCCACTATGGTCACACCTGGGGTTGCCACCATCCGACGGACCCCTTCCACCAAGCCTTCAGTCCGCCGGGGCACCATCGGAGCCGGTCCCATCCCTATCAAGACACCCGTGATACCTGTCAAGACCCCAACTGTCCCAGACCTCCCTGGGATGCTGCCTGTTCCCCCGGACGGGCCAGAGGAGCGGGGTGAGCACAGCCCCGAGTCTCCACAGGGGGGTGAGGGCCCCCAGGGTGCCACCAGCATGCCACCCCCTCTGTGGAGTGGTCACGCCGCCCGCAACCCTCTCCTCCCAGGCCCAAAGCTGAGTATCCCCGAGGAGCACAGACAGGCGATTCCAGAAAGCGAGGCCGAGGACCAGGAGAGGGATCCCTCAAGTGCCAGCGTGTCCCCAGGCCAGATGCCAGAGGGGGACCCTGCAGAGCTGAGCCCCCGCGAGAGCCCTCAAGGAGAAGACATGCTGAACGCCATCCGGAGGGGCGTGAAGCTCAAGAAGACCCTGACCAACGACCGCTCAGCGCCTCGCTTCTTCTAGGTGCTCAGGCTCCCAGGAAACATGGCCCGGGTGGGGAACGAACCCGTTGAATTAATACCGCCTAATTGGTCTCGATCCATTCCAATCTGTAATCCAATTACGATTTTGTAGGCAACTCAGAATTCAGCTCTTTTGAAAGTCCGCCACCACATCTTTAGATAGGGAATTGGAAAAGCAAAAGCAGCATCTATAAACCAAGACAAACCTTGATCTTTTCCTTTGTAAATACTGACAGTTTTTCTTTGTGCACAGTTTAATCTTAGTTAATTTTTCCCCCCTTCTGATTTTTTTTTCTGAAGGTGCCAAATTCCATTTAACTTTTTTACAAGTCTTTGTAAGATTTTAAATGCATAAGGGGTTGGGGGGAGGTCGGGGCAGGGGAGCCACAAAGTAGTTAATTTCAGAAAAAAAAAAGAAAGGTAACTCTACTTGTTTTTCTCTTCTTTTCTGTAAGCTTTTGTAGATGCACTGTAGGCGTCCGGCTTTGAAGCAAATTCAAGTTCTTTTAATGTACAAATGGACAAGGTTGAAATCTTCAGATAATATGATTCTGGATGAAAGGAGCAGGAGGAGCAGTTGATAAGCAATATTCAGAGCGAAGGAAAGCTGGCATTGGGAGGGATTGGGGGGAGGGCCGTGGGAGGGGCACGCTGTCCGCATAGCCAATCCTGTTACATTTAAGAGTAGCCACGTAGCCACGTAGGTTGAATTCTAATAGCTTCCTGGTAAATGCATCCGAATAAGCCATACTGGATTGCAGTGTTTGTTTCTGTAGGGTGTAAGCACTTCCTTTCTCCCATGATCTGGACTGCACACAGTGCCCGCCTCCAGCCCCGTGCATGTACCCGGAGAACCCTCACCCCACCCCACCCCACGCTTTAGTTTGTGGTATCCATCAAATCTGAGTACATCCATCCAAATGGGTAAGGCAGTTTTTAAAATGTGAACACACTTACAAAAAAAAAAAAAAAGATAGCAGGGAATTCTTAAAATATAACAAATGCCTTTTACTTAACTGTGCCCAGCAGGCTGGGTGCATTGAAAAGCCCAAATATTTTGAAGGAAAAAAAAAAAAAACTCAAGCAAATATAACAAAGGTAACCAGCATGGAGTCTAGCAACTTGCCAATGTGTTTACCGATCTGGGAGCTTGTTTTTCTTCTTTTCACTAAGTGGCAGTTAATTGACTCCATACTGAACATTGGAGACGATTTATTTATCATCACCAGGAATCTCACAATACTTACAGTCTTTTTTGTTTGTTTTTTCTTGGTATTCTAGGCAATTCTGAAATGGATTTGTCTTTTAAGTGAAAACTAAATTTGTTACAATGCCCATCTCCCCTAAAGCCAACAGGTTTGTAGGCTTCTGGGTGCCCCCCACCTGGAGGAGATGGTCTGTCCAGCAGTCGGATACCTTGCAAGTTCCTTGACTGACTCAAGAACAGTGTGGCGGGTCCCCAAGGCCCTGCAAATTGCTGTTGGCTCTGATCTTCAGTTCCGTCACCTTATGCTTTAATACATAACTGCGTTGGATGTGAGTAAACGCACCTGTATAGTCATTCTCTGTAGTAACACTTAACACGGCTGTGATCGCTCAAAACCATTCTATGTTACGGCTTTAACAGCAAAGGCATGATTATTAGAAACTTAAGCTTTTTTTGGTTTTCCTTTTGAAAAACAAGCTCCTTTTACAATATAAGCAACAGTAGTGCCTGTGGTTTAGCCCACCAATCTTGATGACTTTGATGACTAAAAGTAGCTGATGCATTGTGCATATGATGCTTGAAATGGTTTTTTGCAAAAGCAGAAATCACTGCAAGGTAATTACAATAGATAAAAGTGGTATTTTAAAACTTTTGCGATAAATGGATGTAACTGTACTTTGGTACAGCTTTTCACTTGTTTAGTTCTTAAACGTTAGTATAATCTGAATAAATTTAATATAAAATGTTGCCAAATTCAGTGTAGAAAGAATGTGACGAGACACCTTGGGTAGTTCTGTTTGTGTTTTTGCATATTGTAAAAGCAGTGTCACAGCTGAGAATAAAGAAATCCTTTCTAAAGGTAAATTATTGTGGTTTAGTTGCTAGTTTGTACTGAGAGTTGACCTCTCCCTGTGCAGTTTTTTGTTCTAAACCTGTATAAATAACAGTTGTGTAATGTGTCTCCCTTCTACCTTGTAACAATTGCTTCAACCTACATTATAAATAAAGAACCACTAGGAAAAAAATTCTGTGATCCAAGTTTCATTGAAATTCAGTTGTGGGCCAGAGATAGTACAGGAGATAGGATGCTTGTCTTGTGTACCCCTGACCTGGATATGATCCCTGGCACTGCATATGGTTCCCTGGGAGCAGACTGGAGCACTGCTGGGCGTGGCCAAGAAAAAATTAAATTCATGGGGCCCAGAGCTAAAGTACAGAGGGTAGGGCACTTGCTTTACATGTAGCTGACCCAGGTTCAATTCTTGGTATCCCATATGGTCCAAGCATTGCCAGGCATGATTCCTGAGTGCAGAGCCAGAAGTGACCCCCTAAGTCGCACTGGATGTGCACACATTCCACCGCCCCCCACCCCCGGGAAAAAAACCCAAACCACATTCAGTTGAGCTCTTAAGATGGACTGAAATGGAGCTTCTTTGGAAAACTGACAGAACATTCCTGTGATGATTATGGCCCCGAAGGGCCCTAGGTTATTGACTATATTGTCAATCAAAGTTAGTGACTATATGGGGGGGAGTAATGTTAAAAGTGGCTTTCCCTTTTAGAGAAATGTCTTCAAAACAATCATGCTGTAGCCCCCTTGATTCTCAAATTATTTCAGCTATTGTTAGAAAAAGCAAAGCTGGAAGACAGCCTTGAAATATGTCACAGAAAGCTTTTGCAGATGGGTTGGTCTCCAAGCACCAGCAGCTCTAACCAGCGAGAACTCCACAAATTACCGGTGAATGTATGCTGCTCAGGGCAAGCGGTTCTTTCAACTGAAATTCCCATAGTGGACTCATGAGAAAACGGTCAAGTCTTTTTAATGTCCTCAGTACTCCCAGCCTTTCTCTGCACTCCTGTCAAGGCTGCCGCTTACACCTGCAGGGTAAAGGGGAACTCGACCTCACTGCTGATGCGCCAACAGCCGGACTTCCCGGGAGAGGAATGGCCACAGGTCACAGCCAGGTCTTTCGAGGCTGCTGGCACCGAGCTGCTCCCCAAGTGAACGAAAGACACGCCCACACGTTAGGTAATTTTTATTAGGGCAAGTGTGTATGTGCATGGTGCAGCTTCCTCCACTTGCCAGCACGGCTGGGGAGGCGCAGTCCTCTACATGGGCCGCTCCCGGGGCCTGGTCACGATGTGCCACCACAGTGGAGGCAAATCGCCTTGCTTCCTCGCGGGGGGCAGAGCTTCCGTTCTTGGACCGCCCGCTGGGGTTTCCTCCTGCAGTTGCTTAATCTAGAAGAGGGTAAGGAGAGATGGATTGGAAAAAGGCTCGGCCGTGGCCTGCCTTGTCTGCCCGTGCGGCAGCCTAGCGTGAACAGGGTGGGCTCCGCACCACCACGCAGGCTCCATCCATGTCCGCCCGCCACCCCTCTCCCACACTAGCTCCGCAGCTGTTCTTCAGGGCAGCCCCGCTCCTAAACCATCAAAGCTGATGAGAAACCCACCCCCCACCTCCCAGCCCCACTTTTGTTCATGAGGCAAAACTGAAGCAATTAGTTTCCCTTGTGACGGTCCTCCTTATCCCTAAAGCATCCAGAAACTTCCATTCACACACACAGCAGGGATGCACGTAGTCAAGCTCCCTGAAATGGCAACCCTGCCAAGGCTAAGAATCCAGAATAAAATGAGTTGTGGCTGCCTGACCACCCCCTGGTTCTTCAGGCTGGTCACTGCCTCCAAGAGAAAGAGACTTAAGAGATGCACTTTTGGGGTCCATGATCTTCAGCAGCTTCAAGAAAAAACCAATTCCTAGACCAGGCTGCCTCATGCACACGTGCTGTTGCAGCATGTGGGAAAATAGAACAACCTAGTGAAGAGATAAGCATGATCAACTGCACAGCAACCAGCAGACCTAAAGGCTGTTTCTCATGAAACACTGCCTGAACCTTATCACCAAAACCAAGAAAGCCTTCAAAGTACAGTTTCAGGTAACTAACTTCCACTAAGTGTCCCTTTCCGGCTCAAATGCCTGAAGGCCCCTAGGAAGAAGTCCAGAAACTCTAATAAGACAGCTGGGTCAGAGGTTGTCCACCTGGCCCAGCCATCTGTCTCAGTCCCTTGGGCCCCTCCCTCACTCCCTCCATTCAGCAGATTCCAGTAGGATACTCTTTCTCAAACACCATCAAGTCCCCGGACACATGCCCCCTGCTCTCACACGCATTCAGTTTGGGGTCACTAAAGAGGAAAAAAGTCCTCTTAAAACTGGTGCTGCTCACTCATGCTCTCCTCTCTCCTCTCTCTCATCACTAAAGGGGAAAATAAGTCTTCAAAAACTGGTGCTGGAACACTTGTTCCCAACTCACCTGGCAACCTCACTCCTGCTATGTGGCCAATTCCATCCTGTTCCCACTTATTTACCAGTCTCCAAACATGCAGGGTCCACTTCTGGACTGTCCTTTCTTTTTTCAAACCTCACAAAACTAAAAGAAGTCACTGGTTGTTGCCCCATTCGCCCTCTCCTCTCCGGAAAGAAGATGGCAGCCACATGGGCACCTTGTGGAGAGCAGGTGTGGGCCGGGGGCGCGGGGGGCGACTAAAACCTCATGGGAAGGGAGGCGTTCTGGTCCATCCTTCACGCCCTACCGAGGTCACCAGTTGCCCCCCACGAGCGGCTCTCCAGCACGGCCACAGCCCCAGAAGCACAAGGACTTAATGCAGAACCCAACAGTTTGGAGCAGAAAAGTGAATGGACTATGCGTTAATCCAGGCCATCATGTCTGCCCGGAGGGGAAAGGGTGTTGTCCCATTCGCCCTCTCCTCTCTGGAAAGAAGATGGCGGTCACATGGGTGCCTTGTGGAGAGCAGGTGTGAGCCGGGGGTGTGGGGACGACTAAAACCTCATGGGAAGGGGGGCGTTCCAATCCGTCCTTCATGCCCTACCGAGGTCACCAGTTGCCCCCCACGGGCGGCTCTCCAGCACGGCCATGACTCCAGAGCACAGAAACCAATCTCTTAATTATCTGACTCTCAGTAGAAATACTTCCAGGGTTAATTAGCAAAATAGCAGAAATCCAAAATCAACATTTAATTCTTGAACCCAGCTGTAGAAAGCGAATCACTTCACAATGCTTTCTTAGCATGTCTGATTTGGGGGGAGGGGGTAAACTCTAAATAATAGTGGTGCATCTTTTATTGCAACAATGAATCTAATCAAAGCAGATAGAGTGTCAACTAGAATTCATCTGCCTCACAGGCATTGGGAGGGGTGGGGGTGGGGTTTTATTGGGGTTCTTCGTGGTAAAAAATAAGTATTGGTAAAGGGAAAGGTGTTTGAATTTGCATGACTGAGACCTAAACCTGAAAGCTTTGTAACTTTTCCCACAGTGATTCAATAAATAAATAAATTATTTTTAAAAAAAGTCACTGAAGCCTTTTATTGCCCCACCACCAAAACTAATTCACGTGTATTATTTCACGAGGAAGAAATCCTCCTTTCAAAGGCCTCCATCTCTTCTTCCCGCAAACTATCCGCCTACTCTTATTTCAAACGTTATCCATTGTTCCTCCATATCCTAACGGGCATCCGTTTAACAGAACCTCTTGGCCCCAATTAGTCCCATTTCTGTTCTCAGCAAATTCTTAAAGAGACATCTCCCCTTCCTGTCTTCTCTTCCCCACTTACCAAACTCTTCCCAGTGTAATCAAATACACAAAGACTAGCCAAGGTCACTTCTTGAAGCTAAAATACGTGGCTGTAAGTTGCCCCCTCACTCTATCCTGCCTTCTGGCAACTCCCGGCGAGGATGACATCACCTGACTCCTCAAATCGCTTCCTCCAGGGCTCTGGCTGCTGCATTCGATCCCAGTCTGCGTCTCCCTTGCTGCATGTTCTGCAGCTGCCGCCTCCTGACCCCCAGACCCCCCCTCCCAACTGGCTCTCTGGTACTTTTCTTCTCGACCTTCTCTCTCATACCCTCATACATTTATTTCCATGGCCCCTTAGAACCTACAACACACATTTCTAGGTCCAGCTCCAATCTCTCCCTTGAGTTTGCCAGAGTCCCTGATGGACATCCACGTGGAGTCTCAGACCGAACAGCCTTAAAATGAACAGCTGGAACTAAACACCTGAATGTCTTCCCCGCCTCAATAAACACCCTCCGCAAACACAAGTAGGAAACCCAGCAATCATCCGTGGCATCTTGGAAATCCTCACCCACCCTGTCTCACACATCCCCACCCCCTCAGCCTTCACATCCCTACAAAGTCTCCTACTCCCACCCGCAGACCCACCCATGCACTGGTCAGCTCACTCTGTGACTGAACGACAGCAATCACCCCGATCAGTCCCTCTGCTTCTCTTGCACACTCCAATATACACAACACCACAGCAAGACTGAGTCTTAAAAAATGTCAATCAGGGGCCGGAGCAATAGTACAGCTGGTAGGGCGTTTGCCTTGCACGTGGCCAACCCGGGTTCAATCCTTGGCATCCCCTATGGTCCCTCAAGCACTGCCAGGAGTAATTCCTGAGCACAGAGCCAGGAGTAACCCCTGAGCATCACTGGGTGTAACCCAAAAAGAAAAAAAAAAACAATCAGATCCAGAGAGGTAGTAGAGTGGGTACGGCACTTGCCTTCCATGAGGTCAACCCGGGTTCAATCCCTGGCATTCCATATGGTCCCCTGAGTATCACCAGGAGTAATTCCCAAGTGTAGAGCCAGGAGTAGCCCCTGAGCACTGCTGGGTGTGACCCAAAAAAGTGAAAAAATTAAAAAAGTAAAGTCTACCCGGGAAGCCAGGGCCAGCGGAACAGACCAGACACGGGAAATCTGGGCTTTTGCCCACAGGGAGCAAGACTGGAGGCAAATTCAAAGCTCGGCTCATGGGCCAAGGTGTGTGGTGACATGCAGGGAATACTCACTTCTCGTTCCCAGCTTTCCTTCCGCAATTTCTTCCACTGCTCTCTCTTGGCAAAGTAATCAGGATACATGGCCTTCTCAGAGGGGTGCCAGTCATCTAAGCACCAGTCAGGAACCTGTCGGGGAGAAAAGATTCTCTATCCAGGGGCATTCTTATAATCACTGCACATTCTGTCTGGATCCTTTACACAAAGCAACTATTTGCAGAGGGCGGTGGGGGTAGGGTAGAGGTGGGGAACAACACCGAGGATCCGAGGATACCCAAGAGTGCGGCAGCAACTGGCGATTTAGCACTTGGCCCCAAGTGTCTAAGACCTTAGAGCTGGGCTGAGGGAGCCCAAACGTCACCTGGGAGAGAGAACTGAGAGTCCAGCCTTCCGCACTCCCTCCAACAGTGACAGTGTCAGGAAAGAAATCACTTACAAGATCTCGGGGGGGGGGGGGGGGTTCCAGAGAGACAGAAAAGGCTTAGGGAGCTTGCCTTGCACACAGACAACCCTGAACCCTGCCAGAAGTGATCCCTGAGCACCCCACCATCACCACTAAAGGGTCTCTGGGGTTTCTCGAGCTGAGGCTTGAGAGCGAAGCAAGCGTGGTCCTCACCAACCTTGTAGCACTCATATCTCTCGAAGGAGGTGCCCCCAGGTGAGTCGGGGAAGATGTAGGGCTGCGGGTGCTGCCAGTGCCAGAATTCTTCCTCTGCCGCCCTGAGCAGCTGGGTGGCCTTCATCATATCCTTTTCATTCTTGTGCTCATCAAACCGGGCGCGCATCAGACACGCGAAGTACCGGTACTTGTCCCTGATACCAAAATGATTTTGGAGAGAAAAAGGTTAGCTGCTCAGCTGGGGCAGTGTCACGGTCTGACAAGCAGCCTCACGGCCACAATGTTTTATGCTCAAGGAGTCTCGCTTCCATCCAACTCTCTAGAGTTCCCAAAACTCCTCCATCTAAAAGTTTTAAAAACCTCCATGAAATAAATCTAACCATTTCCCTTCCCCACATCCTTCAACAAAGCAATGGCTTGAAAAAGCCATTTATTTTAAAAGTCAACAGCAAAAGAAAATAGCTGTTGACAGTAATCTCATTCAGCATTCTTTCAATGACCGCATATAAATTCTCTCAAATCCTGGGCTCTCGAAGCACTCTGCAAAAGTCTGGAGATGCCAGGGTAAATTAGGGAGGGTCAACTAGAGGAAACAGTGCGGCCTGGATTAAATGACTGGCTTTAAAACCTAACCTACAGGAGCTGTACACTTTTTTTTCTTTTTTCTTTTTCTTTTTGGGTCATCCCAGTGATGCTCAGGGGTACTCCTGGCTCTGCACTCAGGAATCACTCCTGGCGGTGCTTGGGGGATCATATGGGATGCTGGGAACTGAACCCGGTTTGGCCGCGTGCAAGGCAAACACCCTACACACTGTGCTATTGCTCCAGTCAGGAGCTGTACTTTTCAGGCAAATTTTTGCCAGGTTGTAGAAGAACCTGCAGACGGAGTTCATTTAGACTTTTATTCGAATATAATTCTAGCCACAGTTGAGAAGGGTTTGAAGCAGGCAACCATGAAGGCAGACCAGAGAGAACCTAGAAATGTTTAGACTCCATAGTTATCACAGTAGGTGCTTGGGACTACACCTCACTCCTGAAGGAGTATCTTCAGGCTGTATACCTCTCCACCACCACAGCAATGTAAACAACAGCATGTATGACTTTACAATGTCCTGAAGGTACACACAAGGTAAGACACAAAAACATACTACCTGGTGCCTGATATCTCTCCAGTGCTCAAAGTCAGCTGCTAACAGATTACACCAGGGAGAGAATGTACAAAACTCTGTCCAATCCTACATGGATCCCAGGCAGAGGGGAAAGCAGAGAGTATACGAGAACAATGCTGAAATTTACAGCTGGGTGATGGTACTGGAACAAAGGCAGAACCACAGACCAATGGAAAAGGGTGGAATATCCTTACACACAACCCCAAGTGTATGAACATCTAATCTTTGATAAGGGAGCAAGATATGTGAAGTGGAGGAAGGAAAGCCTCTTTAACAAATGGTGCTGGCATAACTGGACAACCACACGCAAAAGAGTAGGCTTAGACCTCGACTTAATACCATGCACAAAAGTCAGATCAAAATGGACTAAAGAGGGGCTGGAGCAATAGCACAACGGGTAGGTTGGTTGCCTTGCACGTGGCTGACCCAAGTTCAATTCCCAGCATCCCATATGGTCCCCTGAGCATCGCCAGGAGTAATTTCTGAGTGCATCAGCCAGGAGTAACCCCTGTGCATCACCGGGTGTGACCCAAAAAGCAAAAAAAAAAAAAAAAAAAAGGATTAAAGACCTCAACATCAGACCAGAATCCATAAGGTACACTGAAGACAAGGTCGGCAAAACTCTCCCTGATACTGAGGCTAACGGTATCTTCAAAGATGACATGCCACTGGCCAACCAAGTGGAAACAGAGATAAACAAATGGTACTATATTAAACTAAGAAGCTTCTGCACCACAAAGATAAGTGACCAAAATACAAAGACAATCTACAGAGTGAGAAAGGATATTCACCCCCAATACCCATCCGATAAGGGGTTGATATCAAGGATATACAAATCACTGGTTGAACTCCACAAGAAGAAAACATCCAACCCCATCAAAAAACAGGGTGATGAAATGAACAGAAACCTTCGCAAAGAAGAAATCCGAATGGCTAAAAGGCACATGAGAAAATACTCTACATCATTAATCATCAGGGAGATGCAGATCAAAACAACAATGAGATATCTCACACCACAGAGACTGGCCCACATCCAAAAGAACAAATGCAACCAGTGTTGGCGTGGATGTGGGGAGAAAAGGACTCTTCTTCACTGCTGCTTCTTCACTCTTCTTCACTGGCTCAGCTGTTTTGGAAGACAGTATGGACGATTCTCAAAAAATTAGAAACTGAACTCCCATTTGACCCAGCAATACCATTCCTGGGAATATATCCCAGAGAGGCAAAGAAGTATAGTTGAAGTGACGTCTGCACTTTTTTGTTCATTGCAGCACTGTGTACAATAGCTAAAATCTGGAAAAAACCCGAGTGCCCTAGAACAGATGACTGGTTAAAGAAACTTTGGTACATCTACACAATGGAATACTATGCAGCTGTTAGAAAAGATGAAGTCATGAAATTTACATACAAGTGGTTCTACATGGAAAGTATCATGCTAAGTGAAATAAGTCAGAAAGAGAGGGACAGACATAGAAAGACTGCACTCATCTGGGGAATATAAAGTAATAGAAGGGGAGACAAACACCCAAGAATAGTTGAGATAAGTTCTAGGAGGTCTGCTCCATGGCTTGGAAGCTGGCAGCACATACTGGGGGGAAAAGGCAGCTCAGATAGAGAAGGGAACACCAAGTAAAGGGTGTTTGAAGGATTTACTCGGGATGCGAGATGTGTGCTGAAAGATGACCGAACATGATGACCACTCAATACCTCTATTGCAAACCACAACACCTAAAGGAAAGAGAGAGCAAAAGGGAATGCCCTGCCACAGAGGTGGGGTGGGGGGAAAAGGGGGTGGGAGGGCCACTGGGTTCATTGGTGGTGGAGAATGGGCACTGGTGGAGGGATGGGTACTTGATCATTGTATAACTGAAACCCAAGCACAAAAGTTTGTAAGTCTACAACTGTACCTCATGGTGTTTTACAACAACAACAACAACTACTACTACTACTAATAATAATAAAAGATTACAGCATCAAAAAGAAAAAAATTATAGCTGGGTGACTGGATAGTCACGCCAGTTGGCACTGGGTTTGGGAAGAGTCAGACTGGGACTGTGAAAGGAAACTGGGGTTAGTTCTAAAAGAACTTTGGTAATTGAGTTTCAGAAAGCTCATGTTTGAAAGCGAGCTAACAAGCACCTGGAAATACCTGGCTTTCAAGATAAATGTAGATAACTCAAGGCCTAGAATGAGAAGGCATGGTCCAAAGTATACTGTATATAGTAACAAAGGGCCTAGGATGGGGAAAAAAATATACTCTGAGCGCAAATGAAAGAAGGAAAAGGAAGCACCTATTGAGAAAGGATGTCTGAGAATTTAAAACTGGGCACAGGGTTGGAGCAATGGCTCAAAGGGTTCCTGCTCAGCATGCTGGAAGCCCCACTGCCTGGTCTCCATCCCAACCAAAGCCAGTTGAAGGGTCCCAATGAAATAAAATCAAAACACTGAGTTCACTGTTGATTATGCACTTCAATAATCCCAGATGCAGTTCAACTGGAATTCTTTTGTCTGGGTCACACCTCGCTGTGCTCAGGGCTCACTCTTGGCTCTGCACTGAGAGGTCACTCCTGGCAGAGCTTGTTGGGGACCACATGGGCTGCTGGCGATTGAACCCCAATCACTTCTATGCCAGGTGGAGGCCCTGCCAGCTGTACTATCACTCTGGCCCATCAGGCAGAATTCTTGATGGCTCAAATTCCTTCCTCTAAGACTGACAATGTTCTCTGTCATGATTTGTTTACATGACTCTCTCCTGTTAATCTATGAGCTGCTCCCAACGGGGAAAAGAACCTGTTAACTCAATGGCACATTCTGCTGAGATGAATAAAAACGTAAAAAAAATCGGGGAAGACACTTGAAGCAATTCTACAACCATGAATCTTCCTGCAAGAGGAGGAAAGTGACTCTCCAGTAATCAAAAATATGCAATCCAGGCTTCAAGGACACTCACACCATGCTGCTGTTTTCTGTCTCTTACAGGTTTTTCCTTTAAAGGTTTTGTCTTTCTTTTGGGACAGGAGTGGTGGCTTGGCTGTCACCCCCTGTATAAAGTTTTCAACCCACCTGATGGGTTGACCTTGTAGCATCAAGGTCACAAGGATCTGTTCTTTTAAAGAACAGACCTTTTAAAGATCTACGTTCCCAGATGAGCATGTCAGATGGGAAGAAAATTATGTGCGAGTCACGAAAAAGGGCTGGATGAAGCTAAAAAGTACAGCAAAGAAACTCAAGCGCTCCATGGGCTGGAGCACACGGAGGGTCCCCGGTCACCTCCGGAAGTGACACTGCGCAGGGAACCAGGAGAAACGCCCAAACCTCATCTCCCCTCCACAAGAAAGCAGATGGGATGACCTGGAAGGATGACGCTTTTCAAGTAGTTGCCTTTTGGGGGCGATGAAGGGCTATTTGGGTCACACTCCGTGATGCTCAGGGGTTACACCTGGCCGTGCTGGGGGGAGGGGGGGTGTACCCGAGGATCGAACCCAGGTCGGTGGCGTGCAAGGCAAACGCCCTATTCGCTGTCCTATCACTCCGGCCCCTAGATGCCTCAATGTTTACTGTGACCTTCATCTGCAAAAACCAAAGACAAACGCGACCAGCCTTGAGAATTCCGTGTGCGGCCCTAACCCGTCCACTGGCCTCGTTTTGTGGATAAAACTTCCCGGGGTCATTTCTCGCTTCTGCCTCTGGCGCTCACGAGCAAAGCTCTGCGTCCCCAAACGGAGGCGGCAAGACCCTGGCGCCGTGCACACCCTCGCATCCCGGCTGCTGGCGTCTCCCGGCTCCGGGGACCTGGGGGTGCCCGGCGAGCCCCCAGTTGCCCGGCGAGCCCCCCGCGGCCCAGCGAGCCCCATGCTCGCGGGAGGCGCGACGCCCGGGGTCGGCGTCCCCGGCCTGTCCTTCTGGGCAGCGCCCTTCCCGGCCTCCTCCGGGAAAGCCGCCGCCGCCGCCCGCCTCACCCACCTGTGGATGCACCACGACTCCAGGTGGCGCAGCGCCCGCTTGTAGAGCCGCAGCACCTTCTGCTGGTGCGTCAGGTACGCGGCCGGCGCCGAGAACGCCATGACGGCCCGGCTCACCTTCAGCCGCCGCCGCCGCGGGGGCTGCCGGGAACCGGGGCGGCCCAAGCCGGAAGCGCGGGGGAGGGCGGCGGCGCGTCACTTCCGCTTCCGCCGGAGGAGCCCGGGTCCGCCGCGATCATATCATGAGTCGCTTTAAGTTCGTGGGTAAGCGGCGTCTTTTCCCGAGTGCTGCTCCGCCGGGCGTCGCTACTCGCGGACGGAGGGCCCGGGGTTTGAAGGATCGGGCTGGAGGGTTATCCTCAAGGGAATGCCGGGGAGGAACGGGGCGGGGAGACGCCTGGGCTTGGTGGTGCGTGGTTGGAGCTGGTGCTTGGTAGCGCGTGGTTGGATGTTGCTGATTTGTGTGAATGCAGGAGCCCGACGACGATGATGCATGCACCTTTCAGCCTGTTTTGTATGCAGTGAAAAGGAAGCAAAATGATCCGTCAGTGTCTCCCTGGATACAGCCCGCGGGCCCTCACGTTCATTTCCTGCACCTGGGATGCAGCCACAGAGCTGGCACCGGCCCGGGGCGCTGGGGAGGCATAGAGAAGCGATCCCCGCCCCGCGGGCAAATGCCCCCAGCGAAGAGTTGGTGCTACCAAGCAAGAGCATTAGCTCATTCAGCATCGCTGGAGTGCGACGTCTTCGCAGGGGGGAGGGAGGTGGAGAATCCAGAGTGCCCGACACTGGGGAGAACCTGGGGGCACTGTGCCATCTGGGACCAGAGTATTTCCTGAGTCCAGGCTCTCTGGGTCCAAAAGAGAACTGAGGATGCATTGAATGAATGCAGTGCCGCCCCAGTACCGCTGGGGACAAACCTAGGGCCTTGTCTTGTGAAGGCTAGAGCTGCTTTGAGGTGTGGAATGACAGGTCCTATGACTGTCTCCATAAGGGAATCCCCATAGCTCTTACTGGGATTGTCCAAGAACAGAGAGAGCACTGAAGCTTTTGGGGAGGTTTGTTTTGTGTTTTGCGGCCACACTTGGTGATGCCCAGGACTTCCTCCTGGCCCTACTCCTGGACAGCTTGGGGTACTAGAATGAGGTGCAGGGGATCCAACTCCCGTGGGCTCTGTGCAAGGCAAGTGCCCTACCCGCTGTGCTATCACTCAATCCTCAGGCAGAGTAGGTTTTCATAGCTTGAGCTGGGGTGATGGAAAAGGAAGAGAGATGGGAGTTTTGTCTGCCATATGCATACTGAGTGATTATGGGCCCATAAGAGGAGCCAGTCAAAGAAAACTCAAGAATTGAGGTAAAAGCCAAAATGTGAATGGAATTACGATTGCTTGGCACTGCAGAAGGCATGATGTGATCCATTTTGATTAGGCTTGGTGTGAAATGTTAACAGAAGATTTTGGCATTCTAACCCAGCGTTCCAGTCTGCAGACCCATGCTAGCTACCTCCTGGGTTAGAGCTGCAAGTCCATGGACTAGAATGCAGGACAGCAGGGGGGCCGCTGGTGTAGAAGGTTGAAGAGCTCACCTCTTGGACCTTTCTGGCAGTTCTCAAGGTTTCGGGGGGCCACTCCCTGTGTGGGGACAGCAGTGCTGGGGTATTTGGTGTTGCTCTGCGGGTATGCAATACAGAGACCCTAGCTTGGGAACTTGAGCATACGATGCTTGCACCTAGCCCTTTGAGTTATCTCCTCAACTCAAAGAGGCTGAGACTACCCTCTCTTGAGGCAGATCTTTGGTGCTGTTTATCTTTGCTTCCCAGGGGGGCTTACTAGTACAGTGAATGTCCCAAGGAAGTATGAATCAGTGAGCAAAAGAATACTTGTAGTTTTAGTGTTCAGATGATGAGAGAATTGCTCAAGAAATTCAGAACAGGTGATGCTACAGACTTAAGTTCGCTTCCATTGGAATACATCAGATTTTTTTTCCCCTCTCTTTGATGTTCACTCCTGTTCTCCTGAGGTAACCAGTGTTAAGAGTTTAAAGCAGTGGTCTTCAACCACTGGTTTGTGGATCACTGCTGGTCTGCAAGTGTAGAAAGGTGTAAAATCACTGTCTACCACCTGGGTTAGAGCACTGGTCAGTGGACCAGGATGCAGATAGACGCTGGTCCACAACTGCATAAGAAAGTTAAGAGACAGTGTAGTGGGTAGGGTGCTTGCCTTGCACGCGGGTCCCATCTCCAGCATCCCATACGGTCTCTTGATCACTTCCAGGAGTAATTCCTGAGTGCAGAGTCAGGAGTTAACCTCTGAGCACTCCCAGGTGTGGCCCGAAAACAAAAACAAACCAAAAAAAAGAGGGTTGAAGAACAAAGTCTAGCCTTTCTGATTTTTTTTCATTTTTTATAATTTTATTTATTGAATCACTATGAGAGTAGTTACAAAGCTTTCAGGTTTTAAGTCTCAGTCATACAATGAAACACCTGTACCTTCACCAGTACCCATTCTCCACCACCAAAACCCCCAGTATACCCTCACCCAACACCCTCCCCCTACCTGTGGGGCAGATGATTTCCACATTACTCTCTCTCTACTTTGATTACATTCAATATTTTCACACCAAACCCACCATTATTATTTGGGATTTTACTCCAACACTCAGATCTGCTGAAACGGCAACACTAGACAATTTGTTTTCTGTTGCTGGTTATGAATAATGTATGGTGCTGCGTGGCTGCAGTAGTGGCTGCATGATTTTGAAATTCCGAACTTTTAACAATTAAATCTGGAGGGATTTCTGCCAAAACCTGCTGGGTTCCAAGATTTGTTCCTGAGTCTCTGGGATCATGGCCATTAAGCAGCTTGATCAGAAGCCAGAAAGGCCATTCATGGGCTGCGACTCAGGGTCTCATTGGGATGAGGAGGAAAGGGCCAGCTCCACCCCCATCCCATGAGGCCCCACGTGTCTCGTCACTGTGGGCCTGAACCTGACTGTCCAGTGGCCTCTGGAGGATGATGGCCACCAAGCCGCCAGGGGAACAGGCCAAGGCATGAAACCTATTCCCACCTGGTGTGGCCCGGTACCCATAACCTACTGCAGGGACTGGATGCATTTCTGCCAAAAGCTTTTGGGTTCCGAGATTAGGTTCTGAGTCTCTGGGATTATGGCTGTTAAGCAGTTCAATCAGGAACCAGAGAGGCCATGCCTCCAATTATATAGCTGAGCCGGAGGTGGTTTGTGGGTGTGTCTCCCACATACCTAACTTTTGGCCATTTACATTCTTGGTAAACTTTGCCCCAAGGTTTTGGGGTCTGGCCAAAGGCACAGCAGCAATTTTGGAGTATCTGGAAGTCTGAAGGCACCATGAGGTTGCTGATGCACTCGCCTCACAGGTACAGATTGACCTGCTGGCGGCACCTTACCCCCTAGCCTTTCTGATTTTTAAATGAGGCACATAAAAACTGATATTGGGTGATTTTTCAAACAACAAAAGTAGGATCTTTACTCTTTTGTTTGTTTGCTTATTTGGGGGGCCACATCAAGCAGTGGGCAGGGGTTACTCCTGGCTCTGCACTTGGGAATTAGCCAGGGATGGAGCCTTGGTTGGCTGCCTGCAAGTTACACGCCCTATTCTCTGTACTATCGCTCAGTCTCATTACTTTCTACCTTTGTTTTATCATTCTGATAAGTTAATATCTTATTCGCCATCACTTAGAACATCCTTCCTGGGCTTAGGGAGATAGCCCAGAGGACTGGAGTACATCCTGGCCTGCACAGGACCCGATGAGCACTGTCAGGCATAATCCAGGGGGGGCCCAAACACTGCGGGGCCTGAGCAGCGCTACAGTTCCAGCCCACACACGACCCGCACCTCATGGAGCCCCCACACTGCCACAGAGCGTGCCCCTGGAGCACTACTTGGGGGCACATACCTCTCCCCACTCCAGCCACCCCTCCAAATAAACATTTTACCTGTAGGGGCTGGAGAGCTGGTACAGTGGGCAGGGCACTTGCCTTGCACGTGGATAACTCGTTCACTTCCTGGCACCCCATATGGTCCCCTGAATTCCACCAGCGGCGATCCCTGAGCAGTACCAGATATGACCCAACTGTAGCACTGTCCTCACGTTCTTCATTGATTTGCTCAAGTGGACCCAGTAATATTGTGAGACTTGTTACTGGTTTGGCATATTGAATACGTCACGGAGAGCTTGGCAGGCTTTGCCATGTGGGCGAGATACTCTCAGTAGCTTGCTGGGTTCTCTGAGAGGGGCAGAGAAATCGAACTCGGGTTGGCCAGGTTGGTCGCGTGCCAGGCAAACGCCCTGTCCGCTGTGACATCGCTCCAACCCATGACCCAACAACACAAAAAATTGTTTACTTGTGACCCACTTTGCTAAGTTCTCTGCATGCCAGTGTGTCAGGAGCAGTAACCAGAAAACACCACCTTCGACAAATAGGTTTTCCACAAACATGCTTTACACGGAACAATTAATGAAAAAATGAAACCACTGTTCTAACAGCAGCCTTGGGTTTGGGTTTAAGATAGGGATTGTCCCCAGGTGGGAACCCTACATTTCCCCCTTCTCTGATTTCTTATCAGATGTCTGCCCTTCACCCAGGACCAAAGAGATGGTACAGGCATTAAGGCACTTGCCTTTCAGGAAAATAAAAACCCAAAAGAATAGACACAGTGCTAATAGGCGAATAATGCACTTTTGTGCACATCACGCATCAACGAGGAAAGGACTAAGGGCTCTGCATCACAGGGCATTTTTGCAGGTGGGGAGAGATTGGTGGTTGCATCAGGGCAGGAGATCCTGAAACTCATGTTTCCCCAGGGACAGATCACTGAGACCTACTCTGGACAGGTTCTAAGAGAAAGCCATATCCCAGGAATGGGCCAGACCTTTATCTGCCTCAAGGTAGCCTCTGTACAAGGTTTAGCCTCGTTCCAGTTGGGATGGGATTTCCTCTAGGAGAGGGGTTATATATGGAGCCTCCAAAGTTCTCCTGAACTTTGTTGACCTTGGGGGCCACACCTGGCTCTGTTCCATCCCCAGCAGTACTGGAATGGCACCCTCAGCCTCCTCAGTGAGGACCTGTCCTGCTTCCATCTTTCAAGCCATCTCCCTGGCCTTTAGACTGCTCTAAAATTAGATCCGTGCAAACTAGGAGCAGGTTGGGGGTGAAGGGGTAGCATAAAAGTTTCTGTCTTGAATTTTTGGATCAATTCCAATTTTTTTTTTTAAGTACACAAAGAAACAGAATCTTTTTTTTGTGCTCTGGTAGTCATTGGTGATCAGTGACCTATGACTGCCCCTCTATCTCTCTGGGACTGATTTAGACCCCCAAAGCTTCTAGTGCTGCCTTCTCAGCCTACTCTCACCCCTAAATTTCTTTTTGAAAACTGTAGGTGGCCCCCACACTTAAAATGCATCTCAAAATGCTTCGGCTTCATGACATTTGACTATTATGGCAGAAAGTGGATGACCAGTCAGTAGAGGCTATATTTGGGAGGCTTTTTGTTTTTGTTTTTGTTTGTTTGTTTTTGCCTTATGGTCACACCCGGCGATGCCCAGGGTTTACTCCTGGCTCTGCACTCAGGAATTACTCCTGGCAGTGCTTGGGGAACCATATGGGATTCTGGGAATTGAATCCCAGTCGGCTGCGTGCAAGGCAAATGCCCTACCGCTGTGCTATTGCTCCAGCCCAAGAGAGGCTACATTTTGAATTTTAGATTTTACTTTGTTTGGGTTTGGGGTTAGACTCGCTGGTGCTCTGGACTTAACTCCCAGAGGGGTTTGAGGGACCATGTACTGTGTGAGAGATCAAACTCGGATGGGCCTGAGTTTCACATTTTTCTCTTTCCCTGGGCTGTGTACGTGGTATGGCGCTCTTAGGGTGCTAGACAGACACGGGGAGCCTCAGCTCCTGGCCGGCCTGCGAGGCCATGAGGGGAGCACTGGATCCTCGCCAGGCCCCTGTGGGGGCAGGGTCTTCTAGTGCTCTGGTTTCTGCCGTAGAGGGGCTCAGCAGGACATCCTGCTGCAGCCCCGGGAAGATGTGTGGACGTTGATTTCTGGTGGCACAGGCCATTCCATAGCACACTCTTCACTGGACCGAGCATATCCGTGTTGCTGTGGTGTTACTAGAGCCCTGCAAAGTCGTGCGTTTGTCTCTCACCTTCTGTTTCAGTTTCCTGAAGATCTCTGCATGGTGCCTCTCTCTTGCTATCTCCAATGGCTGGAATATTCTATCTGCCATCTCTCATGCCCTCCCATTCGCTTCAGCTTAATGCTGAAGATCTTAACACAGCTCACTTGGCCATCTGGGCAGAAATCAGAGTGGGGAAAAAAATACCACGAATAAGCTGAAATTCGGCAGTGAGGTTGGAGGGATCTGTCGGCAGCAACTGTTCCCTCCCCGCCCCCCCTCCCCCAACACACCCACCACCGGCAGTGTGCAGCTTCTCTTTGGACTAAAGGGTGTGTGTTGTCCATGAGGAAGGTGTTTCTGTTGGCCAGGGTTTCTACAGCCTGGCTTTGCCTGCCAGTATTTCCCTTGTTCCCTAATTCCGTAGGGCAAGATTCTTCAAGGATGGCATGTGTGGTGTGTGTGGGGTGCGGGGGAGAGGGGGGTGTTCAGTTGTAGGAGGCGTGTTTATCCTGTGCATTGCAGGATATTTAGCACCATCCGTGGTCGTAAGCTCAGATGCCAGTAGTGCTCTTTTCAGCCATGGCAACTCAGTTTTAATGCAGAATAATGCGTGTGTTGGGGCAGGCAGCGATGGGATAGATGAGGGGGCAGTCTTCTGTTCTCCTTTTCCAGCCTGTGCTCAGTGAGCACAATGAGTTTCTGCCTGTCTCCTTGTAACCTTCGCTTTCTTTTCTGGGTTTTTTTTCTTTTTTTTTGGGGGGGGGGTCACACCCGGCGATGCACAGGGGTTACTCCTGGCTTTCCACTCAGGAATTACTCCTGGTGGTGCTCAGGAGTACGATATGGGATGCTGGGAATCAAACACGGGAGGGCCAGATGCAAGGCAAATGCCCTACTTGCTGTGCTATCACTCCAGTTGTTCTGATTCAGGTGGTCTTCATAGCAAAGCCGAGAGCTTGCTTGGTTCCACCTGAGTATCCCGGCTCCATATCCCATATCCCCTTTCTATAATGATGTCCCCAGGAGCCCTTCTTGCTGGTTCTTGAGTTTGTTTTTATTTATTTTGGTTTGGGGACCCCACTCAGTGGTGCTTAGGGCTTGCTCCGGGCTCTGTGTCCAGGGATCACTCCTAGAGGCGTCTGGAGGAACAGAGGAAGCTCTGGGAATCTAACCTGGGCTTGCTGTGCAAGACTAGCGCCCTACCCGCCAACTGTCACTAGGCCTCCGCTGTTGGTAGTTTAAAGATGAGTGGCTGTCCCATGGCTGCATCTGGCCTTTCTCGCCACTCTTGTCCCTCGCCAGCAGCCGGAAGGGCCCATGAGCCTCTAGCCCTGTGGGCTGCACAGCCCCAACGCTTTGTGCCTGCTCTCTGCACTTTCCCCTCTCCTGCGAGTTGACTCATCCCTCATGCTTCCCTGCAGGGATCCATTTCTTCCTGCCATCTCTTCTGGGCCACGTTGGACCCTGTTCCTGTTTTGTTTACCCCAGTACCAGGGCCTACTGCTGATGTTGGCTGATGGTTTGCTAAGGGGGTCACCTTTCCAATGTCTGCACTGAGTTCCTTGAGACTGGAACTCTTTCATTTTTGTTTGTTTGGGGCACACACCTGGCATTGCAGATACTTCTCCTGGGCTGGCCCCAGTGGTACTCAGGGGTGTCTGTAGTGCTGAGCATGGAACCTGGGGCTCTTGCATGCTTTGAGCGCTCCTGCTGGCCCATTGTGTATCTCATTATGCCAGATTACTTGCCCAGTAGATAATGTTGAAGGAATGACCAGTGCAGTAGCAAGGGTTTTTATTTAAAGTAGAAGTTTCAAATAGAGACTCTTAATGATCATTTTTGCTTTTCGTAGATATTGGCATCAACCTGACTGATCCTGTATTCAGAGGAATTTATAGAGGAGTTCAAAAGCATCAAGGTAAATGTTTTTCTTATTTTTTTTTTTCGTGGCTTTTTGGTTCACATCCGGTGATGCTCAAGGGGTACTTCTGGCTATGTACTCAGGAATTACTCCTTCCTGCCAGTATTTGGGGGGACTGTATGGGATGCCGGGGATCAAACCCAGGTCAGCTGAGTGCAAGGCAAACACTCTCCCCGCTGTACTATTGCTCCCGCTCCAGTCTTTCTCTTTTTAAGGTGAATAATTTCTCAGTGAAGACATGTTTTCTGACCCAAGCTAATTTTAAAAAGTGTAATCCACTTCTAAACTTAAAATATTAAGAAATGTCTCAAATAAAACTATAAACTGTGGAGCATACGTAAGTTACATTGCTGACTCTGTGAGCGTGAATGTTTATAAAGGACTCCTTACAGCAAAGTATTACTTAAGCCCTTAAATGAGCCATATGCACCAAAGCCAACTCTCGGTTAATGTTCGTTTAGTCTTTTAAACCATAGGGGTACATAATCCAGAAGTCACAGTTGAGCATCAGTGAAAAATCTCAGAGCCCAGTATGGGGCTGGGTGATAGCACTTGGACGTGTGAGTACGGGTTTGATTACTGTACTGCAAAAGTTAACATGTATATACATTCTCCGCAACATGGTCAGCCGTGGCAGAGGACGAGGAGTGTCCCGTGGCCATGTTCCGCTGCCCGCCTGCCCTTGCCATCCCACCTTTCTGGTGCCTGGATGTCTGCAGGAAATGTGGCGCCCCGCCATCCTCCCAGTTTGTCCCAACAAGCTGAGCCCGAAGCAGAGTGATATATGCTGGCTGGGGTGACTATGCAGGAAATGGCAACTGACAAGTGTCCGAAAGCACCATTTCTCCCGTCAGCGATAAGACAATAAGTACTGATTACTGTGTAAATGCAGCCAGGAAACTCGGGGCTAGTGATTCTGGGTGATGTGGGGGTGCCACATTTCAGCAGGCCACAGCAGAAGGTAACCCCAGGTGATACAAAGCAAAAACAAAGGAAGAAATGGACATGTTGGCTGTTCGAAGTCGTACCTGTTTAATGTTTTAAATGTGTTATATGTGTGGAACAGTGGCACAGTTAAACCTTTTTGATTGTTTGGTTTTTGTTTTGTTCAGTGCTGAGTAGCTCCTCCTGGCTCGGGGGTAGCTCCAGGTAGTTTTCAGGGGATGATGCAGTGCTGGGGATTGAACCCAGGAGTTCTGCGTACAGAACCTGTGCTACCTCTCTGGCCTGCGGCCTGAATGCTGGGTACTTTCCCTTCTTTTCTCACCTTTGTAGCACTTCATGAAATTCATATTTTATGAAACAGATTACTGTGTGTGTGTGTGTTTGTGTGCATGTGCACTCACGTGTGTATATTCATGAAATAAGTTCTAAGATAGTAATGTGATCACTTTTGTATTACTCAAGTTCACAATGTCAAGCAAAACTGCTTAGTTTTGCTCTGCTTAATACAAGTTCTCCAGATACCTATTGGTTTGAGGGTTGGCCCAGTTTATATGACTGGTGGCCTTGCCCCGGCTCTGAGCTCAGCATCACTCCTGGCTCTGCCTGGAGAACATGTCTAGTGCTGGGAATTGAGCCAGGGCTGCCATATACAGAGCAATTGCCTTAATCCCTGCACCGTCTCTCCAGCTCCCCCACCCCCCATGGTATTTTTGTCTGGAAGAAAGCTTTAATACTCTAGAAGTAATAGTAACTCAATTCTAATATTACTTACTATGTATATAAGTATGGGATTAATGAATGTTTGTGTTCTAATTGCTTAATTTTGCTATCCATTTATCTTGGTCCTCTCAGAGTCCAATACTATTGCTGTTGATCTCCCTGAAAACTTTATCATTACTTAACAATGAATTTGGGGGAGAAGCAAAAGAGAGCTACCAGGAAAATGAAAATTATCCTTTCTCTGTGTGGTAGTAATTATAGAAAAGAAAGTTCCCTGAAAATTATGCAAGACATGTTTTAGGAGACTTTTTTTTTAATATATTCTGAAAATCTAATCGTGAGAAAGCCAGAAAGAAAAAGCATTGGATTTAAGAAAATCGGTAAGAAAAACAGTATCAGTGCCACTCAGTGCCTCTTTTGCAAACCACAACACCCAAAAGGAGGGAGACAACAAAGGGGAATGCCCTGCCATAGAGGCAGGGTGGGATGGGGGCATGGGGGGTGGGAGGGATACTGGGATCCGTGGTGGTGGAGAATGGGCATTGGTGGAGGGATGGGCATTTGATCATTGTATAATTGAAACCCAAGCATAAAAATTGTAAGTCTACAACTGTACCTCATGGTGTCTCACTAATAAAAAATTTAAAAAAAAGAAAAAGTAAAGAAAAGAAAAACAGTATCAGTTTTAGCTTTATTTTACCTGGTGGTCTTCAATGGCTACTCATGGTGCAGCGCTCAGGGGTCCCTCTTTGGCAGCACTGAGAGGACTCTGTGTGTGTGTGTGTGTGTGTGTGTGTGTGTGTGTGTGTGTGTGCGCGTGTGTCAGGGACGATCTGCACATTCCAGCCCAGCCTTGAGCCTACTCACCTGTTCGCTAGCTCCCTCTCATTAAGGGTAAGTACTCACCAGCTAGCTTTGGCTCAGTACATGTGCTTGTCTTGTATCTTTCGTTCTAGATAGAATAACTAAATTTTAGCTAAGTGGGTTTTTGTTGATCAGGGGTTCTTAATGCAGATTGTCTTTTACAGATGACTTACAGGATGTAGTACAGAGAGCTGTCCAGATTGGTGTTAAAAAGGTAACGCTTTTGTTTGCTTTTACTCTTCAGATTTTTTTTTTTTAAACTGAATTATGTGATGGGTATGGCCTGGTAACAGTATACCAATGTCTTGAAAGTTTTTTAAAAACCTATCCGAATAATCAGATGTCTTAAGAAATAACTTTTAATATATTTTATAGCATAATTTAGCATTTTTTACAATCAAGCAGTCATAGAAAAGTCATGTAGCTATAGCTTTAGTTTTTCATACCATAGGTATAGATAGGCCATTTCAAGTCACAGAAGATTTTTTTTTAATTTCAAGTTCAGTTTGCTTCCCAACTACTTTATTTTTTATTGTGTCACTGTGAAATAAACAATTACAAAGTTGTTCATGATTGAGTTTCAGCCATACAATGTTCCAACACCCATCCCTCCACCATATACATTTTCCACCACAAGTGTCCCCATTTTGCCTCCTGCCCCCGCCACCTACTTCTATGGAAGACATTTTTCCTCAGTTTCTGTCTCTCTCTCTGTCTCTTGCTCTGCACTCTCTCTTGCTCTCTCGCTCTCTCTCTTTCTTCCTCTTCCTCTCTCCTCTCTTTCTCTCTCATTGAGAAGGTATTTGTACAGTAATTATTTATCAAGAACATCCCTATTTTTTGAGAGTTCTAAGCAAATGAAACTCCATGTTAAGTTCTTCAAAGTTGGAGCGTACAGAACTCATTTAATCAGCAATTTCGGTTTTTAGAACAGAACTTGGAAGCAGCACAACAGATTCCTGATAGGCCGATGGTGATGCGCAGGGCTTCATCCTGGTTCTGTGCTCAGGGATCCCTCCTAGCGGTGCTCTAAGGGGACCCTATGCTGCAGTGCCTGGGGTCATGCCGGGGCTGACTGCATGCAAGGCGAGCTCTTTATCCCCTGTACTGTCCACTCCGCCCCCTGCCACCCCCTTGCGTTTTCTTTTTAACAGATTAACATAGGGAGCAGTCTCATCATCTGGGGGACTCTCTAGACGTTTGCTCATTTGCCAGGACCCACACATTTCCCTACGAAGATTTCAGTGTACATTAACCTAGTGATTCTCAAATCTTTCAGTCCCTGAATTCCTTTATATTCTATTATTATTAATAAAATAAAAGCCCAAAAAGCTTTTTATACACACATACACACACTATATGAAATATCAAAGTAGTTTATATAAAACAACAAACCCTAATATAACATTAATAATGTTTTTAGGGGGGATCGGAAAGATAATACAGAGGGTAGAGTGCTTGCCTTGCATGTGACCTGCTTGGTCCCCCCCCCCATTTTTTTTTTTTAATTAATTCATCGTGAGATACAGTAACAGAATTTCATGTGTGAACTTTGATCATATAGTCATCAAACACCCATGCCTTCACCAGTGCACATTTTCCACCACCAAGATCCCCAGTGTTCCCCCCCGCCAACCCCATTCCTCCCCGTGCCAGTATGGTGGACAATTTGCAAAATATTCTTTCTCTACTTTAGTTACCTTTGATATTTCGAGGCCAGTCCTACCTCCCCTCATACCAGCGGAAAATACATTTGCTAGACAGTGTGTTTTGTATTGCTTGTTATGGATATAACATAAAGTCACGCAGCCACGAGAGTAGCCGCATGCTCTCAGAATTCTAAGATTTTAATAATTAGGGTCTGAAGAAATCACTGCCGCAGGTTGCTCAGGTCCAAGATTCCTGTGTGTGTCTCTGGATCGTGGCCATGTGGGAACTAGTGCTTCTTGCTGGCTTCTAGAAAATGGTGTCCGCTGGAGCTCTCAGAGGGCAGGCGGAAGGACGGCACCCCTCCCCCACCCCCCAGCCGCCCAGCAGAGAAGGCCTATTGCAAAGTCCTAGGCCATCTCTGCCTCAAGTTACTCGTGCCCGAAATTTCTGTGTGTCCCTACTTGGGTTTGATCCCCAGCATCCCATATGGTTCCCTAAGCTCGCCAGGAATAATCCCTGAGCACAGAGCCAGGAGCAACCCCTGAGCACTGCCAGGTACAGCACAAAAACAAAAATAATGTTTTTATGAAAAAGTGTTTTTAGGGCCTGGTAATGGTACAGGTAAGGTGCTCTTCTGTATGGTTCCTGGCAGGTCTCTGAGCACTGCTTGGTATGGCAGAAGAGAGAGAGAGAGAGAGAGAGAGAGAGAGAGAGAGAGAGAGAGAGAGAGAGAGAGAGAGAGAAGGAGAGAAGGAGAGAAAGGAAGAAGAAAGATGTATTTTCTAACTCCATGAGTGGAATCGGTGCATTTTTTTTCCTACCCAGTGTCTAGTTCAATAAAAGAGCACCGAACTGCCAGATCAGGTTCTGGGGTCAGTTTGCCGTCCTCACCTCTGGAATGCCTCATGGCACACTTGCAACAGAATTAGAGTGAAAATGACAAATGGTCACAGTGTTGTCATGAAAGTACTTCTGTCTGGAAACAGCCCGAGTGCCTGAGAACAGACGACTGGTTAAAAGAAACTTTGGTACATCTGTACAATGGAATATTATACAGCTTTTAGGAAAGATGAAGTCATGAAATTTGCTTATAAGTGGATGGTCATGGAGAGTATCATGCTAAGTGAAATGAGTCAGAAAGAGAGGGACAGACATAGAATGACTGCACTCATTTGTGGAATATAAAAAAAACATAACATGAAACTGACACCCAAGGACAGTAGACACAAGGGCCAGGAATATTGCTCCATAGTTGGAAGCCTGTCTCATGAGCTGGGGGAGAAGGCAGCTGGAATAGAGACGGGATCACTAAGTCAATGATAGAGGAATCGTTCGGGATGGGAGATGTGTGCAGAGGGTAGATAAAGGACCAATTGTGATGCCTCTCAGAATTTATATTGCAAACCATAATGCCCAAAAGTAGAGAGAGAATATGGGAAATTTTCTGTCATAGAGGCAGGAGGAGGGTTGGAAAGTGGGGAGGTCCACTGGGGACATTGGTGGTAGAGATGGGTAGAGGGATGGGTGTTCCACCATTGTATGACTGAAAGAAACTTGAACATGAAAGTTTTATAACTGTATCTCACAGTAATTTAATAAAAAAAAGAAGGGGAAAAAAAAGTAGTTCTGATCTCACATAGCCCTTAGGATTCTGGGACCACACTTGGAGACTGAATTGCTAATTTAGGCGATCAGAATTCTAAATTTGGAGGTCTTGTCATTCAGTCTTTCTAAACTTCAGCTCTGAGCTCAGGGAGATGTGTCTATACACAGTATAGGATAGTGTGACAAATTCTGTATGAGAGAGAGAGAGAGAGAGAGAGAGAGAGAGAGAGAGAGAGAGAGAGAGAGAGATAGAGAGAGTGTACGCATGCATGCAAATACTCTGGGACCACTCAGGTGAGGAGATGATCATTCAACTGAATTTTAAGAAAGGTTGTGTTAGAATCTTGATTAAGCCTGTATGGGTTTGGGGATGGGGGGCGGGGGGGAAGCTGCAATAAAGCAGTGTGGGAAACTTGATGCTTATTTCACTCCTTTCTTTTTCAGTTTATGATTACAGGTGGAAATCTCCAAGACAGTAAAGATGCTCTGCATTTGGCACAAACAAATGGTATCCTCATATTACTTTTACAAAAAAATTCGAATTAAGTTATTTTGAAGAAGTCTTTCTGAAAACTGCTTTCAGGTACAATACAGTGGATCGTGATTATAGCAACAGCAGGAAAATAAACTAATTTTAGTTGGATTTAATTAAGGTGAAAGGAATTTAAGTTCCCTTTTGTAGATTAGATGCTTGATTTTAGTTGATGAGTTTACCAGATAGTTTAACCTCAAATATTCCTGATGTAGAATTTTGTATATGTGTTAATGTCTTTAAGATATATATGTATATATATATATATGGTCACACATATTATATATTGCTTTTTATTTTTTAATTTAAATATTAAAAATAACTTTCCTTTTTTGGGATTTGAGCCACACCTGGCAGTGCTCAGGGCTTACCCCTGGCTCTGTGCTCAGGGATCATTCCTCATGAGCTCAGGGGGCTATATGGGATGCTTCGGATCAGACTGAGGTCAGACACATGTAAAGCAAGCACCTTACCCACTATGCTATCTGTCTGACCTTTTGTCTACTTTTAAAACTCAAGTTGTAAAACAGCATTTATTAAATATGATGCAGATCATATACTGTACAAGATCTAGGAATTCAAGTAATGGAAAGAGTCCCTTATATACTTAATTAATTCATATTTATTTAAATTTATAGTTTTGCAAGTGATTGCTAAAGAAATAGTATTTACATAAATGACTCTGTTGTGCGTTTTTTTCATCTGACTTTTTTTTTGTATGTCTCATATGCTACATGCTAAGGAATTAGGTATTCCACATTATTTCTCTTTTTTTTTTGTGAGCGAGGGGAGGCATCCCTGGAGGTACTCAGGGCTTATACTGGCTCTGTGCTCAGGAATCACACCTGGCAGGTTTGGGGGGATAATTTGGGGTGCTGAGAATTGAACCTGGGTTGGCCACGTGCAAGACAAGTGCCCTACCCCTGGACTATCCCGCCCACCCTGCCTAGAGTATTTCTTAATAGAAATCTTGTTGATATTCATACTTCAGGTTCCACAGACAACCTTTTCTTTCGCAATGAAAGTCTAAAACTCATCCTCATCCCAGGAACTTTTGAAGTGTCTAAGAATGTTTTGTATTACCTCCACACAGATCTCCTCCTCCCTCATACTTCCTTTCCCTTGGTTGCTTTGTGATGCCCAGGGATCTCACACACACACATGGTTGTGGTGTTTGCACACAACTGTATTGCTTACAGGGTTCTCACGCTTCAGTTGTGCACAGACAATGTTGGGGGCCAGGAGGACTGTATGTGTGAGGTAACACCTGGTCACACACATTCTTAGTTGCATTGCTTTCTAGGGGCAGGGTTATCACACAGGGATTTTGGGGGGCATTCCCGAACAGTGCTCAGGAGATTCAGGGCCACTCCTAGAGCTTCCAACCACAGGACCCAAGGGATTGGTTCTGTTTGGGGCCTGTATTCCTGAGCCACCCAAAGGGGCACACCGAGTGGTACTGGGGGCCACACCCACACAGGCCCTCGGCATCACCTATTCTACCCTCTTCCCCCCCCCCCCTCTTTTTTTTTTTAACTGTGATGCCTGCACACATCAGGCTCAGGTGTGCTGGAATTCACACACACTTCCAGTGCCTGGGGCCCACACAGCCGAGCTGGGGCTGCCCCAGCACACAGCTGGGAGCACTAGGAGTGGGACGCACAGGCTCTGGCTGGCCTGGCGGTGCTTTTTGCTGCCGGGCCATTGCTAGGCCCTGGCTTCACTTCTTAAAATGTTCGCTGACCTTGGGCCTGAAAAACACCTCAAACTCCTGAGTACGTGCTTTGCAGGCAGGAGGCCTCGGCTCCAGCCCCACGTCACACTCTGAGCACTGCTGGGTGTGACCCTGGGCTACTACACACTGCTCAGAATGGTCCTCCGTAAACAGAAGCAACCATCCCACCCTCCTCCGCCCTTCTCTGGGTACCTTGACACCATGACGTCACAGCTTTATAGCCTGCAGTAGAACACACAGACACAAGCACCAGAGCTTCCCCCAAAGCTGTTCTGAGTTCTCTTCTGTGTTCCCCTACAGTTTATTTGTGCGTGTGTGTGTGTGTGTGTGTGTGTGTGTGTGTGTGTAGTGGGGGGCACCTAGCAGTGCTCACAAGTTTTTCCTGGTAATGTGCTTAGGAGTGGTCCAGGGGATTGATCTGGGGTGAGCGGGATGCAAGGCAAGCACCTTACCCCATGTACTACTGCTCCAGCGCTGTGTTCCATATCACAAAAGTCATTGAAGTCTCAGCCTCTGAATAAGTGAGCCTTATTTTTATAAGAAAAATGACCCTCTTGTCCATCTTTTAAAATACATCTTAATGGTTTTATTTAAAAACATAAAACGAAAAGTTGGAGGAATCGTACGAGGGGTAGGGATTTGCCTTGCATGCAGCTGACCTGGGTTTGATCCCCTGTGCCCTATAGAGACCCTTCAGCATTGTTAGTCTTAATCCCTGAGTGCCGAACCAGGAGTCAGCCCTGACCACTGTCTCGGGTGTGGCCCCCCCCCAAACAAACAGGCATTAAACAAAAGTCACAGGACCATTGGTGATGAAAGATAAAATTAGGTGATGACACTTCATTCCTCCAAGAAATGATTTCAGGAACATAAGTCATAGAGGGACAGGGAAGCGGGTGGGAGGAAAGAGCAGAGGCAGACATTTTGATCATGAGAACGATGCTCAAATTTTCATGATGAGGTACAGACACATCCTGGGGTACAAAGCAATAATTCCAGTTTTACTAGTATTGGAAATCAATGGAAAATGAGTAAACTTTTAATGAAAAGTTCTAAGTGTCTCATTTTCCATTCTGTAAGTCTCAGTAAATACCTAGCTTTGGGAAGATTTGAATGAATTTATTGTTTTGTTGAGGCAGTTTTTATATTTGTGTCTTGCTTTGTTAAGGTATTACAACATTGTACGGGATTAACAAACGCCATCTGAATACTTAGTGACTGTTGTTAAATATAAGTCTCAGGATGATGTACCCAGCCTCTGGTTTGATCCCTGGGATCACAGAGCCCCATCAGGGGTGACCGAATGTAGTTTTGGAGGCCCCAGACCTCCACTGTTGTGGTCCTAGTGACCCCCAAGTACTACCAGGGGGCCCAGGTGACCCGCTGTACCGTATTAGGGCCTGGTCTCCACAGCATCCCTGGAGCCACCTTCTTCGACTTCTGGCCTGGTTGGCTGAGAGCCACCAAGAGGGACCTCTGGACGCCATGAGCACCACTTGGGAAGCCCCTCTCCCGCCCACAAAGTAACCTATTGAATAACTTAGAGTCATTTTTGCACATTAAATAGAAACATATTTTGAAAGTATCCTGATATCATTTTGTTAGATATGTTCTTTAGTACCGTTGGATGCCATCCTACAAGATGTGATGAGTTTGAAAAGAATGATCCTGATCATTACTTAATGGAGTTGCTGAATCTTGCTGAGAACAACAAGGGGAAAGTTGTGGCAATAGGGGAATGTGGGCTCGGTAAGTGCCATATCGCTTGGAGCGACTTTGTTTGAAAAGAATTGGCTTGTTCAAGACAAGTCATGAGTAATAACTGGTTCTTTTTTTTTCAATCATCTAAAGATTTCGACCGACTACAGTTTTGTCCGAAAGATACTCAGCTCAAGTAAGGATTTTTTTTTAACTTTAGAAATTATTGCAAAGTCTTAAACATGATTTTAAATTGCTTTTATCAGTTCAGAATATAGTTGGAGTAAGCATCAGGATTTTAATAAAAAATTGGTGTATATGTAGAGGGGGCCAGGCTCTATCTTGATACTTAGGGTCGCTCCTGGCAGTTGTGGCAACCGTATGATTCAGGGTACCAGGCTCCATGCATTGCAGACCCTTTGAGGCAGCTCCCTGGCCCCAAGCAGAAGGATTTGAAGGTGGGGGCGGGGGTTGCCTTTATATATCAAAAGTCAAATGAAATATATCCCCATGCATACACGTATGCGATTCCTATGCAGTAGATATGTTTTGAATATTCCTGAAGCATGTTTCCCAGCATGATTAACAGTCTAATTGAATTTCAGTGATGGAGATAGAATGCTTTACATGATAGAGACTTCTTTTTTTTTTTTTAATTCAGTCCATGCATTCATGATTCCAGTGAGATGATCTGAATTCAGTTGTGGAGGTACAGAATTAAAAGACAAAGGATACTTTGGTCACCAGAGCTGGAAAGCCATGTCTCTTGCTCACTGGGTGTTAGAGGTTGTTCATGTAGAGCATGGCAGGGTCTGAGTAGGTGCTGTGTTGAATGCAGTAGCTTCCGAGAAATCCTGGAACTCACAGCTTTGAGATTGTAGGCAAGCCCACAATCACTTGCCTATAGCCTTTCATCGGAGCTTCTTCCATACCAAGGAGCCCGTGTTAAAGGGTGGAAGGGAAAAGTTAGGCCAGAGGATCAGACATACTGTTGAATTTAAAAAATGATGCCCTCAATTTTCAGGGTGATGAACTATTACAGTGTGCTTCAAAAAGAGGTGAATTTAGCTATTCATTCAACAGATAACTTGTGGAGTACTGTGCTGGAAACTATAGGGGTCATGGTATAAAAAAAATGTGGATAACCATAGTGTCCATCCTTCCTTAGAATATTGAATAATTAACAGTCCCCTGTCCTACTCCGTTCCTTATGCACAAAGGAAACTGGATCAAACTCTGTTAAGATACTGGGCAATTTTTCATTTTCATTTTTGTCGTGATTGTGATTCAGCCAGTTATGGGGTGGCCCAAAATGAATTTTCAGATTGCACATGCCAAAATATGCTTGTCCTTCCCGACCCAGCCCCCCAAATGAGCCCCTTGAGCCCCTTTGCAACCAGCTTAGTTGGCAACCTCTGGATTGGAGTGGACCGACCGGGGAGGGTCCTGTCCTGCACTCCCGCAGCAGGGTGCCTGAATGAGAAAGGCCCCTGGCTAGGTGATATCGGATAGGTCTCAGATGTGCTTTCAGGCCTCTCGTTTGCAGCCCCCTCTCAGAACTGGGGAGTCAATGTGGAGTATTTGTTTGCTGTGTTTCCCAGGGCGTGCGGGTAGGATACAGGTGGGGTGGTCACTAACTCTGTCTCCCTCTTTTTTTTTTTTTTTTTTAGGAATACTGCTATTTTTTTCAGCCACTGATTAGCTGATTGAATTGGGCATAAACTCCACCTTACTTTTTTTTTCATTTTTTATAATTTTATTTATTGAATCACCGTGAGCGCAGTTACAAAGCTTTCGGGTTTAAGTCTCGGTCATACAATGAAACACCCGTACCTTCACCAGTGCCCATTCTCCACCACCAAAAACCCCAGTATACCCCCCATCCCACACCCTCCCCCGTCTCTCTCCCTCTTGATTCACATAGGACTGCTCACTTAACCCTGAAAGTGCTCGATTTCACAGTGAAGCAGTGAATGCCTGTCTGACCGATTCCTCGGTTAAGCCCGAAGGAGAATCCTAAGTCCTCCACTTCGGTCTGTTTTTGGCCACGCTGAGCCACGTGAAGCCAGCTCGGCAATGAGGACAGTTCAGACGACTATTGTCCAGATGACTCAGAGCTGACTCTGAGTACAACCTAGATACTATCACCTCACTTACATGTCTGACTAAATGTAAACATTGACAGTGTCGCTTCTGTGTGACCGTTGTGATTCGCCATCATCTTTGCACATGATTACCAGCAATCGGTGCTGCTGGTCATCCTGTGTGCTTTACAGCACTTGCCCCCGGCGGTGTTTATACTACAGTCTGAACTCTGTTCAGAGAATGATTACCACGTGCCTCCCTGGCACAGCACGAAGACGCAGACTTCATCTCGCTCTTAGATAAGAGAGGACATAAGCATGGGGTGTGGAGAGCAGAGGGAAGGACAGACTTTCCGGGGGAGCTGGGGGAGGCGGTGCCAAGGGGCTGGAAAACCAGCTAAACTTCTCGAGCACTGATGAAGCAGAGATGACGTGGTAGAAAGAATGAAAAGATGGCCTTTCAGCGTGAAATAAAACTTTTAATTATAAACCATCACATGGTATAATAATTAAAAAAAAGTGTGCTAGTAGTAATGCATTCGTGTTATCAGTAAAGAAACAGTTCTCCCTCTCCCATCCCCTGCTTCCCCTCCTGTCACTTTACACAGAGCCCAGTGCCCCGGGTCTCAGCACATACAGCACCCTGCATGTGTCAGTACTTCCTCCTTCCCATGACAAAGAGCGAAGGGCAAGTGCACCTCTCCCGAGCTTCAATATGACTTGGTCAGATGGCACATCTTAGAAGTGTGGGATGAAAAAACTGACGAGTATAGTCCCTGGAGTGCCACTAGCTGCTTTTCCTTTTGCTGACATCAGTATTTTAATTCTTATTTCGTTTGTACCACTCTCCCTTAGTATGCTCTTACTTCTTTTGAACTTGTTTTAATTTGTGCTTAACAATAGATCATTCTGAATTCGGTTAGCCTAACTTGGGCCATTAAGATTTAGACTTTTTTTTTTTTAAGAATTTAATTCATATAAAGCATATTCTCTTGACATAATAGAATTAAACTACAAATCAAATCATAAAAATTTGGGGGGAGTGTAGGGGTTGACAGATATTCAAGGGTCCCTCCTGGCGATGCTCAGGGGGCCGTATACCATGCCAGGAATCACACTGAGATTGGTTTTGTGTGTGCAAGGCAAACACCTTAACTCTGTCCTATCCAGAGGTATATCCAGGGTGTGTCCTGTCCTACTGGGGGTTGGTTTTGTTTTTCGAAACGCCTGGGTGGAACCCAGAGCCACAGACTGCCAGGACAAGCATTTTTATATCCCCAGCCTCCCAAATGTGTCATTTCCACAGAGTCTCTGCCTCCTGTTCAGTGTTGTCAAGTATAAGATCACAGGACTCAGTGTCCCTGGGGTAAGCGTCCCACCTTGGGGACACCTTTCTGACACCTGTTGCCCTCTCGGGAGGGTGTCTTCCTCTCTAGTCTCGGCACTCCCCTTTGTCACTGTTATGAAAGCTTTTTGCCTTGGGCATACAGGTCAGTCTCGGTTTTGGTGTAGATTAACCCAAGTCTTGGACTGGATTTGTGAGTGCAGAGGAGGTAAACACACAAGTTATCTGTTTGGCCCTCCCTCCCCTGTTCACTTTTGCAGATATTTTAATTATATGGACATGGTGACTGTTGGTAAATATTAATATAGCTCTGCTTATTTTAGCCCAGCAGAATCTAAAAAGATTATTTAAAACCTAAATCTAGGGTGAAGGATGTAGCTCAGAGGTGGAAACCCCATGGTGTCAGTCCCTAGCATCACAGAACAGCTGTGACTTCCCTTCCCCTCCCTCCTCCCACGCCTGGGTAACCTAAGGACAAAACAAAGGAAACCCCAAGTCTTGGTTAATAAAGACACAGAAAGCCAATTGGAGGAAGAGTTTTCATTTCTAACCATTTTCACAAGCCCAGGGGGTAACTTTGGGGAACTGGTTGCCTTGTAATTCAGGTCTGTTCCCATAAATCAAGTGATGTGAAGGAAATAAGTCCTTCAAGAAAATAGCAGGCAGGATGGGGAGAGGCTCAGGGCTGGTGCACCTGTCCTGCATGCAGGAGTCCTGGGTTTGGTGCCCAACACTGCCCGGTCCCTGAGCACTGCTGGGAGCAACCTTGGAGTACTGTGCCTCCTCGTTCTAAACTGAAACCATAATGTTCTTTATTTCTGTACAGTGAGTAGTGTAGAGTGTACATCTGGCAATGATCATGGATAAAATTACAAACATTTCTGAAAATAATTTTATAATCCCAGGAAATCAATATTGCCCTCTAGAAAGTTATGTAATAAAGGCCTTCTGCTCGTCCCCAAGCTGTTTGAAATGTTCAAATGCACCACTTCTTTTTTAATTTCTAGAGAATAGAATACTATTAACATTTGGTATTATCCTTTTTCCGCATGCTGAAATGAGATGAATGAGTAAATATCTTTTTGTTCATGTGCAGATATTTTGAAAAACAGTTTGAACTGTCAGAACAGACAAAACTACCAATGTTTCTTCACTGTCGAAATTCACACGATGAATTTTTGGGTGAGATAAAACTAAAATCTTACAGGAATTTAAGATTCTTGCAGAAGTCAAGTTTTATTTTAACTGAAATTTCTCTTTTAATTCACAGACATAATGAAGAGAAACAGAGATAGGTGTGTTGGGGGAGTGGTGAGTATAAGTTTTTTTTAATTACTTGATGTGTGAAATGAGTTGGTGGTTAAGTTTTTAACAATAAAATTATTAAAGTTCTCTCATTCTTTGAAGGACTATAAATTTGCTTTTGGGTGTGTGGGCTGGATGTAGAACAAACATAAATCCCACTTTCAATTAGTTTTTTTTGCTTAGAATACCAGAATGAATACAGAATTCTGCTCATAAGAAAACCCCACAAATTTACCTCTAGATACGTCAACAGTGTGTGATATTTTTATCTTTACCATTAACCACTTTAGAGATAAATCTTCCTCAGTTGAAATTTTGAGCAAACTTGGGGCTGAAGTGATAGTACAGCAGGTAGAGCATTTGCCTTGCACATGGCCAATCTGGGTTCAATTCCCAGCATCCCATATGGTCCCAAGCATCGCCAGGAGCAATTCCTGAGTGCATGAGCCAGGAGTAACCCCCGTGCATTGCCAGGTGTGACCCAAAAAAGCAAAAAAAAAAAAAATTTTTTTTTTTTGAGCAAAATAAATAGCATAGTGGGTAGGGCGTTTGCCTTGCACACAGTCGATCTATGTTCGATTCCTCCGCCCCTCTCGGAGAGCCTGGCAAGCTACTGAGAGTATTCCGCCAGCATGGCAAAGCCTGGCAAGCTCCCCGTGACGTATTTGATATGCCAAACACAGTAACAAGAAGTCTTGCCAATGGAGATGTTACTGGTGCCCTCTCAAGAAAATTGATGAACAATGGGAGGACAATGACAAAAAACTAATCACTTTTTTTGGGGGGGGAGGGGGGATTCTGGGCAGCACCCAGGATGCTCAGGGGTTACTCCTGACTCTGCGCTTAGGAATTACTCCTGGCAATGTTTGGGGGACCATATGGGTTGCTGGGGATCAAACCTGGGATGACCGTATGCAAGGCAAGCTCCCTACCTACTGTACTACTGCTCTTGCCCCTGAATTTAATCATTTTAAAATACTTAACTCATTTCAGGTTTGCCTTTAACTTCCTAATTTAGTCATTTTCATTGTCTCTCTCACATAGGAATTTCCTTTTCTTTCTATAATCTGCTTCTGCTCTAAACAGCAGAGTAGAAGTTTAGAAGAGACCCACTATTTGTAGCATAAAGTTGCCATCCAGACATATAAGAGCATGTAGTTATTCTGCTCCATCAATAATTTCATATATATTTTCAAGTTTTAGCTTCTGCCTCATGTTTCATAATACTAGCATGACATGCATTTCCTGCATTACTGTGGTCTTAATGTTACAGTACATATATTTATCTGTTTTACTGACCCTGTAGCATATCTCTTAGGAACTAAACGTACTTGCCAATTAAGAGAGTTTCATTAATACCCTTCACATACTAATAGTCCTTTGTATTTTGTTTTTGTTTTGTTTTGTTTGCTTTTTGGGTCACACCCAGCGATGCACAGGGTTACTCCTGGTTCTGTACTCAGGAATTACTCCTGGAGGTGTCTGCCGCGTGCAAGGCAAACACCCTACTTGCTGTGCTATCGATCCAGCCCCACTGATAGCCCTTTAAGACCTCAGTCTCCAGCTCCCATCCAGTTTGCTTTATTTCTAAGTAAGAATTTACTTGGATGATTCTGTAATAGTTTTTTTTTTAATTAAGAACAAATTAACCCACGTGTGATTTTTATTTTTTATAAAGTGATTGTTGGGGGCTGGAGCGATAGCACAACGGGTAGGGCATTTGCCTTGCATGCGGCCAACCCGGGTTCAACTCCCAGCATCCCATATGGTCCCCAGAGCATTGCCAGGAATGATTGCTGAGTGCAGAACCAGGAGTAGCCCCTGAGCAGCGTCGCTGGGTGTGACACAAAAAGCAAAAAAAAAAAAAAAAAAAGTGATTGTTAGGGCTGGAGTGATAATATAGCAGGTTGGGCATTTGCCTTGCACATGGCCAACCTGGGTTGGATCCCCGGCATCCCATATGGTCCCCCAAATATTGCCAGAAGTAATTCCTGGGTAACCCCAAAGCATTGCTGGGTGTGACCCAAAAAGCAAAATAAAAACACCAAGAAACAAAGAAACACAAGTGATTGCCATCTAAAGAATAACAGTTTTCTTTGTTGGGCCACACCTGGTGCTGGGGGCTATTCCTAGAGTAGTGCTCAGGAGTTGCTCTCAGGGGTGGCTGGGGGACTAGGTGTCATCTAGGATTAAATCCGAGTCTCCAGCCTGCAAAGCTTGTGCTCTAACCCTTTGTGCCATCTCCCGAACTAAAGAATAATTTTCTGAAGTGATTTATGATAGAGTCATATGAAATTTTCAATATTAACGGAGGCTGTTTTTCTCTGAGCTGGAGTCCTGTGGGAAGAGTATGGCTTTGTACAGCTCTGAAAACACTTTTCTCTGGAGTGGGGAAACGTTCTCTGTCATATATTCAGACTCTCCAGATTCAGTATTAATATAAAGTCACTTGCTGGGTGTTAGTAAAAGGAGCTGTTACTATTTTGGTTGCATAAACATGTCCCAAGTGTGAAATAGTATGTGCTAAATGCCCTATCTCGGAAGGAGAAAAAACGCCATCCGCCATTTTGGCCTGTAAAGCAGTAGCATTTTGTGCATAATAATGTGTATTTTGTGGGGGGCTCTTAACCAGTGTTCAGGATTGCTGGGGGCTCATTGTTAGTCAGCCAGGCAGGCGGCTCAGGCCTGAGGACATGGCCAGGGCTCCCCAGAGCCTCCCTGGCTGTGCTTGGTGGCTTCAGGGTGGGATACAGGTGACCAGTGGTACACAGGTGGATTGTCCCCAGGTTGGCACGTGCAAGCCATGGGCTCTGACCCTTGTATCAGCTCCCCACCCAATAATTTATATTTTTGAAGCAGTGTTCTCACAACTTTTTCATAAATCTTAAAACTTTTCATTTTTTTTAAACATGTGTTATTTCAACTTTTAAAAATATTTTCTAGATCAGGGATGTGGCTCGGTGATAGAACATTACCTTGCATGTGGGAGGCCCTGGGTCCATTCCCCAGCTCTGTCGTTTCCCCCCCCCCCCCTCGTGTATGTGTGTGTGTGTGAGAGAGAGAGAGAGAGAGAGAGAGAGAGAGAGAGAGAGAGAGAGAGAGAGTGAGAGAGTTTTATGACCTTTCTAACTTTTGCCTAGTAATTTGGTGTTCAACTTGGGAGTGCAGGGGCATGTGATGACAGGCATCAAAACCAGGGCTCAAACATGCAGGGCACTTGCTTCTCACTTGACACTCATCCTCAGCCCTGCATCTGGACTTGTTGTGTCCTTTTTGAGCCACACCCGGCAATCTGCAGGGCTTACTCCTGGCTCTGTGCTCAGAGATCACTCCTAGAGGGGCTCAGAGGACACCCTGGGGTGCTGGGGATCAAATCTGGGTTAACTGCATGCAAGACATGTACCCTACCACCGTATTATGGCTCCTGCCTACATCTGTACTTTTGTTTACAGAGACCTACTAACGTTATTTGTAATTTGAAACAGTAATTTTTGTAACGATGAAATCATACCTCTGTGTTCTTAGGTGCATTCATTTGATGGGACCAAGGAGGCTGCAGCTGCTTTGATTGACTTAGATCTCTATATAGGATTTAATGGTTGGTAGGTTCTTAGTTTTTTTTTTTAATGTATTAAACAAATATCCTAAATTGCTTTGCAGTGAAATGTTGCTTTATTATTTTTTTGAACAAAGTGAAAGATCTGAATTAAAGGAACTTACTTTAGAAAGGTGGAGGAAAGAGAAATATGTGTTCAAGAGAGAGAACACAGGCTTCTCCAGATGGAAAAATCCAATATTAAATTTTTTTAATTGAAGTTGTATTTGTTTTGATCTTGGCCTGATAATTTCATTACATCAGCAGTTAACTAGTGTGTTACAATGGAAAACGCAAGTTTGAAATGTTGGAACATACTATTCTGTGTTCCAGTAGAGGAAGACAGCCTTATCTTTTTTTTTTTTTCTTTTTGGGTCACACCCGGCGATGCACAGGGGTTACTCCTGGCTCTGCACTCAGGAATCACTCCTGGCGGTGCTCAGCGGACCATATGGGATGCTAGGAATCGAACCTGGGTCGGCTGTGTGCAAGGCAAACGCCTTACCTGCTGTGCTATCTCTCCAGCCCCGGGACAGCCTTATCTTGAGGTCACCAGCTGACTTTCTTGGGCAGTCAAGTTTTTCTCCGATCACTATATCTAATTCTTTAATTTCTGGGGGTTTGGGGCCACATTCAGCTGAACACAAGGCTTACTCCTGGCTCTGAGCTCAGGGACCACTCCTGGCAGGGCTCAGGGAGCCATATACTGTGCTAGGGATTGAACCCAGTTGAACCTTGTGCTAGTGCCGTATCTGCTATACTCTTACTGGCTCTATTTTATCCGTAAGTCACACACTTATTCACTGTATTGCATGCGTGTACTTATTCAAGGTAATGTCTTATGGTGGGGGTCAGCTACAGAGCACCACCAAACCAGTGTCAATTCTCAAGATTTTGGTTTAGCTCATTAAATAAGGCGATTTTCTTTACTTCTTAGTGTTACTTTTCTGATCTGATAGTCTTTTCTACTGAAATATCCTTATAACAAGGGGCCGAGCATTAGTACAGTGGGTGTGGTACTTTGATAGATAAGCGTGTACACTCCTTTTCCGTGTTTGCACTCACTGAGACAGAGATAGAACCCAGGGCCTCACTGCTCCAGGGTCAGCACTGCAGCTGAACTACACCTCCAGCTAAGCAATGATATTTTTCTCTTCCATAGTCTTCCTCACACCCCACACTCATGCAATATAGTCGTGTCAGAATGTTTGGTTGTGTGCACCTTCAATGTTTTCATTATTATCTCCATGCAAATATTGGTTGCTGTACCATATGGTGTGCTACTTTCATTCATATTTTCCTAGAATAAAGTTGCTCATATTCTTATTCGCTGTCTTCAAACCTTAAGCCTTTTAGACTTTTGAGCAGCTCAGTAGTCCCCATTTTTCCACCAGACGAAACCTATCCCGGTTTCTATGAGTTGCATGAATTCCAGACCTGTCTACCTCTCTGCCTGCATTTGGCCCTAGTGTTCTTTTCTGGGCTGGAGTTCCTCTGGTTAGGCTCTCTATATTGTTTTATTTCAGTGGAGCACATTTGAAAATGAATGTATTCTGTTCTTGCTCCTGGAATTTTGTCTGGATTGTTTATGGAAAAAACATTTCCACCGATACAGTACTCTTTCTAGGCATAAATGCTCAATTAGAAGTCATTTTCTCCAAGAATTTGCAGTTCCATTGCCATGCTCCTGTGCAGTGCTAAGTCTGTTGCAGTTCTGCGTCCCAGTTCCTTCCCTGTGGCCTGCTTTTGCTCCCAGGGAAGGTCTGAATCTCCATTTTTTATCTTAGCTCCTATCATGGTTGGCTTCATTGTGTGCTTAGATTAGCCCCTTTCAGTTTTGTCTGTGAGAACTTTTCTTAGGGGTGTGTATGTGTGTGTGTTCCTGATTTTTAAACACAGGCTGACATTTTTTCTTTTCTCCCTATGATTTCTAAAAGCTTTTAAAACACACTTTTTCCCTGGGGTTTTTTTTTTTTTTTGGTGGGCGGGGGGAACCTCTCAATCAGTGCTCAGGAGACCAGTGGGCCACTCTCGAAGCTTCTTGGTCAGACAAGTTCATGCTCAGACCCAGCAGTGCTGGGACTACAGGGCTGTCCCAATTGGTGCTCAGGGGACATGTGGGGCTGGGACTGAACTGGGACGTCCACATGGCAGGTATGCACTTCCACTCTTTGTGCTGTTGCTCCAGTCCAGGCACATGTCCTGTTTCAGTCATGTCAAGTCAGCATTCATTTCTAGCCCCTGAAAGCTCTCTTAATCTACCTTATGCAGCACTATTTACCTCTAAAACTAGGATTTTTTTTAAATCTAGTTGTCTGTCAAAAAATGCTTTGATATACTGAGTTCCTCTTCCCTCTTCCCTCTGTTTTGCTTCTATCATGATGATGCCTTTAAACAGGAAGCATTGTTTTATTGTTTATCTTTAAAAATTGGAAATTGGATTTAAAAAAAAAAAAGCAGTTTGGGAAGCCAGGGAGATAACTCGTAGGACAGGAGCAGATGCTTTGCATTTTGGAGGCCCAGTTTCAGTCCCGGTCAGTGTGGTCCACAGACACAGCTGGAGAGACCCTCAGGCACCGCCAGGTGGGCCCAGGGGGTGCAGTCTGGAGGCTCTGTGCAGAGATGGGTTATCTCTGGCTCACCATCGAGGCCTGCTGGCCTTCACCAGGGTTTGTCTAGATATTCTCTGTTGGTTTTGTTTCTCCAGAAAAGGGTCCTCATCAGAATCATGCAGTGGGGAAAAGAACAGGGTGAGGTTTCATCAATGTATTTGAGTTCTGCGGCAGGGTAGATTAGAAAGAGGACTTTGCACTTCAGGTTTCTTTGCCCATTTTTGGGCGCCAGAGATGAAGTGGATTTGCACTAGCATGTGCTGACCCCGAGACTCCCTACTGGCTTGGCGCCCATTCTCCACTGGCAGACCCGTGTCTCAACCCTTGATCCCCAGTCCAGTCTCTGGCGGAGGTTCCCGAGACCGCAGTCTCCCCTGTCCAGGAGATCTTATTCTGCTGCGGCTCACTGAGAGGGACATGGGGGCCCCTCCTTGTGCCCTGACTTCCACTTCCTCCCAGCAGTGCCTGGCCTCATCCCAGCCTGTTTGAGGATCAAGTTCTTCCTTGGCTAAGAACTCTCCTAGGTGATTAGTTCATCTGTCTGCAGTATTTTTCTGTAGGAAGAAAACACTTAAATGCAGGTCACTTATTTCATCATTCGCTTTCTGCTATGTTGAGATTTAAGGACTAGAATTACCTACTTTCATTGAAAATATACAGCTTTATTAAGTAATGGGGATGGTTTCTCAGTGAAAAATAAGACCAAAATAGGGTAACTGCAAGCTTACATAAAGACATCTCTCTTCTTAGTCCTTCCCATGCACATAACATAAAAAAGATTTACACTCAGGAAGAAAAGAATTTTTCAAGAAAACTGAACAAACTCTATAATAAGGCCAGGATTTGGCATATTTGTTAATCCAAGAGAAAAACATTCAGTGAACCAAAAGCCATGGGGCCAGAGCAATAGTACATTGGGCAGTGCTCTTGTCTTGTACACGGCCAATCTGGGTTCGATCCCCAGTACATTATGGCCCCAAAGCACCACCAGGAGTGATCCCTAAGTGCAAAACCAGGAGTAAGCTCTGAGCACTGCCAGGCATGGCCCAACTTTCCCATTCCCCAAATAACAGAAAAGTCTAAGTTTAGGATATTTGGTGGGTGGTGGGGAGGGATTTTGAGGGCTCACCCCACCATGCTTGGATGCTATTTCCTAACATAACTTGGAGAAACATGCTGGGCTGGGGATCAAACATGAGCCTTATGCATGAAAGCATGTATACTAGCCCTTTGATCCATCCTGGGCCTATATAATTAGGAGTTTTATAATAGTTTCATAACATAGTTTCAAAAGTTTCAAAATCCTAAGCATTTTCAGATTTGGGGGTGGGAAAAGGGCCTTTAAATGGAATGGGAATGAAAATGCTGTCTTCTAGCATGCTTTTGCTAAAGTTCATTCTGAGTGATTTTTCATCCTCTGTGAAGTTTCGTTATCTGACCTGGTAAAACATGGGCTTTGGAGTGTCTAATACTGACTCTTTTATACCAGTGAATCTTATATTGTGTATCTGGCCTAGAAAGGCATTTGCTAAGCCTTCAAACTCAGCATCACAAAGGCCTCTTAATTGCTGCTAATTATCCAGAGGCAAATTATTTTATTTTTGTTTGGCTTATTTTTGGACCACATCCGGGTGTGCTCAGGGCTGACTCCTCTGTGGTTAGGGGTCACTCCTGGCAGGACTCTGGGAACATAGGAGGTGCTGGGGATTAAACCCAGGCTAGCCACATGCAAGGCAAGCACCCTATCCACTGTACTATTCTCCAGCTCAAAGTGGGAAATTATTTTAAAGGGTAACTTTTACATACATTGACAGTTACTGAACAATTAACTGATTAAGTAGCAAAAAAATGTACATCCCTTTAAAGTTAGGATATGTTTAGAACAGATTGTACTCTAGATTCTGTAAGGATACATTCTAAAGTGTCCTGTCATTGTGGCTAACCAAAGTTTTATTTTAATATTTTGAGTTAACTTTATAATACATTTTAGGTGCATTTATAATATGTAAAAAGTTTTTATTAAATTTACTTATATATAACCATTTTTTTTTTCTTTTGCTTTTTTTAAGTTCACTGAAAACTGAGGCTAATTTGGAAGTTTTGAAGTCCATACCTACTGAAAAACTAATGATTGAAACAGGTAAGTTTGTTTTTGGAACTTCAATTTTCATCTCAGAGCATACCAAAAAAAGAGCTAAAGAAACATTAATTTTCATTTTACGCTGCAATGCTCATCCTCAACAATTAACTTTTTGTAGATTTTAATAAATAAAAGATATTTACACAATTACTCCTTTCCATCTTGAAAATTTAAGTCTATACTCTTAAAAAATAAGGTTCCTTGAACAAGGAATCTTATACCAAGTGTGTTAACTCAGGGTTTCAAAACTGTATTTTTCCATTCGCAACATCTTTCAAATGGCTTATTCTACAAGACATTCGAAATAAAGTGAATTTTTAAAAATCAAATAGTGTTAGTCCACGAACTTCTGAAGTTAATCCAGTACTGTCTCTTGAAATAAAAAAAGGTTAGAAGTAGAAATTTTATCTTGGCTTGATATTCAAGGCCCTCCTCTACAGATGGATGTTAGTCAAGACTCACCATTCTTAAGAAATCAGGAGAGTCCTGAAAGCAAAGTGATTTAACTAAAAATACTTGTAAATGTGCAAGCAATTACAATTCACTAAATAGGAATGCTTGTGTCCAAAGCTATTTTTTTAATCCAGTATAAGCAAATGAAGGTTTTAATTGAAATAGTTTCACGTTAGATTTCTTTAAGGTTTCTTTGTAAAACATGAAATACATGTCAGTGTTTCAGAAAAAAAGAAAGAATAAAGTCGAGTATTATAAAGCATTTCAAGATTTTGTACGATTCAAGATTTTACTTTGTACTCAGATCTGAGTTCCTGCTTTTTGAAGCAGAATCATTGCTTATTTTTCAGAGGTTATCTACTAGTTTTATTCACCAAAAATACTCATTCATTTGAAAAGGTAATCTGTTTCTTTACTTAACTATAGATGCACCATGGTGTGGAGTCAAAAGTACGCATGCTGGATCAAAGTATATAAAAACCTCCTTTCCTACCAAAAAGAAGTGGGAACATGGGCACTGTTTAAAAGACAGAAATGAACCCTGCCATATCATGTAAGTCTGACATTCAAGTCAACTGCCAAGGTACCACCAACAGAATGAACAAGGGAATTAATGGTGGATGCGATCAAGTAAATTCGGATCAAAGGCCATCATTTTAAAGCAGTGATTTTGAGGAATTTACACCACTGTTCTAACCTCAGCTCCTCTTAACAGCCTCTTCAGCCTCTTAACCCAGTATTTTATTACATCAGTGAGAAGTTGTTTGGGTCATTTGTCATTTTGTATAACAGGGAAAAGATCTCAGAGGGTACCATAAAAACATCTTTCCTGACCTAAGTTCTGTTCCCATGCAGCTTCCCTGCTGGTAGTTACAAAACTGCAATCTTAGAAGACCTTTTTCATGGTCTCTGTATATTTTAAATGATTCAACCATCTGAATAAACCTGCCTAACATGTTTCTTTAAGCCCCTGAACAAAAGGATGTTATAGAATATCCTTTTTCACATCCCTTCTCCAAAGAACAGAGCTTTATTGAATTTTGTTCTCTTAAATCCAGTATTTTGGAATCACTTTCCATTCTCTGTTGCACAAGTGATACGTGAGGCTTGCTGCCATCACCCATCTGGCAGGGAGCTGCAGAGCCTGTTATAACCCACAAGGTTTTGTTCTGTCACTTTAATGAACACATTACCCAGTTTCTTTTGTTATTACAGGCAGGAACCATTTGTTATGTCCTTTATACATCATCCAATTTCTTTTTTATTTGGTGGATGGGGGGAACCCTCACAAGCAGTGGCTTCAGGAGCCCCAGGGCCACTCCCGGCAGGACTAAGCCAACCAGTCCAGGCAGTTTTTTGCTGGGGCCCAGCAGTTCAGTGCTCCTTGGCCTGATGGTGCTGGGGCCACCGGGACCACAGCTGCTGCTGTTTGGGGGGCAGGTAGTGCCAAAGATCAAGCCAAGGTCTCTAGGAATGCAAGGCATGTACCCTGACCACCAAGCTCTCTAGCCCTTTATGCAGTGTTTATGTATGTGTTACTGGGACTCAAATCCAGGCCTCATTGTTGAGCTGCATCTCCAGACCCCGAATTTATTCTTTTTTCAGGGGGCCCCACCTGATGATGTGCAGGGATTGGAGGACCATATGGGGTGCTGGTGATCAAACTGGTCAGTTGCATGCAGGGCAAGTGCCCTGCCCGCTGTACTCTCAGGAAGTCCAGACCCGTAATTTTTTGTTTTTAGTGCTACACATCAGACCCGGGGCCTCTCAGATACAAGGCCTGGCCTGACCCCATTTTTTTTTATAAGCTGTAGGTACTTGCTAATTCAGTCACAAGACAGTATTTCTAAATCTTCAGAGGATTAAGGTCTAAAGCTGATGTTTTATCACCAGTTAGTGTCCAAGTGAGTTTCTTATATGGCCTTAGTCTTTTTTTCTCTTTGGGTTACACCCAGCAATGCTCAGGGGTTACTCCTGACTCTGCCCTCCGGAATTATTCCTGGCGGTGCTCAGGGGACCATATGGGATGCTGGGAATCAACCTGGGTCAGCCGCATGCAAGGCAAACACCCTACCTGCTGTGCTATCTCTCCAACCCCCTAACTGCCTTGTCTTAAGAATAGCAGTTGGTTTTAGCTACACATTTGAAGGACATTTGGGTAAGTTTCTAAATGCCAGTTTAAGAATCAAAACGGCTTGAATCTCAACTGCCATCCTAAATACCAGTTCTGATTAGGTATGTCTTAGGAAAAACCAACATTTGCTAACTGAAAAATATTATTTCAAAAATAATCCAGGGGTTGGAGCAATAGCACGGTGGGTAGGGCGTTTGCCTTGCAGCGGCCAGCCCGGGTTTGATCCCTGGCATCCCATATGGTCCCCCAAGCACCGCCAGGAGTAATTCCTGAGTGGAGAGCCAGGAGTGACCCCTGAGCATTGTTGGGTGTGACCCAAAAGGCAAAAAAAAAAAAAAAAAACCCAAAAAACAAAAAAAAATCCAGTGCCAATAGTAAACCAGTAAAATTTTCATTAAAACAATTTTAATGAAATATTAAAATTAGTTAATTGAGATTTTATCAGGATTCAGGGCAGGAGAATTATATTTAACATTACCAAGTGGGAGCCAGAGCAACAGTACAGTGGGTAGGACACTTACTTGCCTTGGGCATGGTCAACCCGATTCACTCCCCAGCATTCCATATGGTCCCTGGAGCACTGCAAGGAGTGATTCCTGAGTGCAGAGGCAGGAGTAACCCCTGAGCTGGGTGTGGCCTAAAATTCAATAAATGCATGGAAGGAATGAAAGAAAAATTAGGTCATTATAATCTTTTGAAATTTTTTTTAATTAAAAATAAAAATACCCATGCTTGTGACCAAAGAGATAGTGTAGTAGGAAAAGCATTTGCCTTGTACATGTCCGGTCTAGCTTTGATCCCTGCCACCTCATATGGCACCCCAAGCACTGCCTGGAGCGATCTCTGACTGCAGAGCCAGGAGTCAGCCCTGAGCACTGCCAGGTGTCCTCTCCCCCGCTCCTAAAAACACACACACACAAAAAAGTTAAAAATACCCATGCTTTTAGTCTAATTCCTACTTTGGACAAACTGGCAGGCTACTGAATGTACCTGCCCACACGGCAGAGTCTGGCAAACTCCCCGTGGCGTACCCAGTATGCCAAATACCAGTAACAATGATGGGTCTCATTCTCCTAACCCTGAAAGAGCCTTGAATATGACACTTTAAAAATCCCAGGGCTAGGACGGAGACGTTACTGGGGCCTGCTCGAGGCAATCGATTAGTCTAATGCTAATTACTAAGAATTTAACTCCCCACTTATAAAGACATACTTTTCAGATTCCATTAGCAGTTTCAATTCTCTTTTCTCCCAAGATTTTAAGTTCCTTGCCACAAGTTGGAGCTCCTCTTTCCTGTCAGGAAAGCTACCAACTGAGGTTGGTTACAAGAATCAGAACAGCCCCTGCTCCCAGTCCTAGGTCCAGCCAGATGAGTAGGCACATTGTGCAGGCTCTTTGAAGAAAACATTTAAGAAGGCAGCATGCAAATTTCTGGAATATAAGACTGGAACCATGGAACACAGCAGCTGCCTGCCCCATAGAGAAGTAAGGAGTTTAACTAAGATGACATTTCATTTGGGAGGTCTGCCAGAGCCAAACAAAATCCTTGAGCAAAGGATTTTGGCAGAAAGGCTTAGCTGCTCCGGGAACAATGAGTTTAGTGTGGCAGAATGTAGGATACTGGGGGGAAGTGCTAAGTCCAGGAAGGTAAAGTGAGGCCAGGTTAAGAGGGTTCTTGTAAGCCAACCTTAGGACTTGAGATTTTATCAGGACCCAGGGCTGGGGAATTCTATAGCACTCTGCCTTCCACACTACTGAGCTCTGCTCCCTCCCCAGCACTACAAATAGCACCCAGCCCCCAGCCTTCAGGAATGATCCCTGAGCCCGGAGTAAACAAGCTCTGAGCACAGCAGGGTGCCAGCCAAAAGCAAAAATCTTATCAGGAACCAAACAACAGCAAAGTGGCTGTTCTTAAAACTTTTATAAAACTAGTTTTCAGTATGAAAAAAAAATGGGTGGCAGGAATCACTTTGATTTGTACATAATCCATAGAACTTCCAACTCCTTAGTTGTTTTGTGGGTTTTTTGGTGCCAAGCTTGGCTGTGCTCAGGGATCATCGAGGGTGCTGGGTGGGGCTTGAATCTAAGCTTAGCCAAATGTAGTGCAAGCGCCCTTAACTTTTTATTTTTGAGGATCTTTGGGGCCACACCAGATGATGCTCATCATCAGGGCTTACTTCTGGTTTTGTACTTGGACTCCTAGCAGAGCTCAGGGACCATATGGGATGCTGGGAATTGAACCAGGTCAGCCTTTTGCAAGGCAAATGCCCTACTATTACCCTAACTTCTGAGTAGTTACTAAAAGGAAAATTCTAAAATTTGATGGGATGCTTTCGGTTTTTGCCCTTTTTTAAATAAAAACTACACCGTTTGTGTGTGGGGGTGGATGCATGCTGTGCTGGGAGAACACAGAATTTCCTGTGATGGATAGGGAGCTTGGGGCTACACCCAGATGTGCTTCAGGATCAGTCTTGGTAATGCGAGGGATCCAACCAGGGGTTGGCTGTGTGCACACACGTTAACCTCTTGACCATCACTCTGGTCCCCCAAATTGAACTGTAGTGTCAATTTAAGTGTTAATAGAATTGATTTCAGCATATTTTGACTCAGACTAAAATTCTAGTTGGTTTATTTCATGTATGATGGCTTTCATGTTACTGTAATAGACAAAAATTTCTAATCTCCAGGGCCAGAGCAGTAGCATAGTAGGTAGGGTTTTTGCTTCGTACATGGCCAATCTGGGTTGGCTCCTTGGCATCCTATATGGTCCCCCAAGCACTGCTACAACCCCTGAGCATTGCCAGATGTGCCCCCCAAACCAAAACCAAACCTAACTTTCTAATCTCCAACTCTATTTTTTTTGTTTTTGGACATCTGGCTATGCTCAGGGCTTACTCCTGGCTGTGATTGGGGATGCTAGGGATCAAACCTGGGTCAATGGCATTCAAGGCAAGCTAGTTACCCACTGTATTATCTCTCTAACCCTCTAATTCTAATTTCTTGAGTGTTCAGATTTAAGAAACCCACAAAAGACTAGAGGGTATTATGCTGAGCAGTTAAGTCAGAATGAACAGGACCAATATAAAATGATCTATGAAGAACTTAAAGATACACAGCAATGGGACTGGAGCGATAGCACAGCAGGTAAGGTGTTTGCCTTGCATGCGGCCAACCCAGGTTCTATTCCCAGCATCCCATATGGTCCCCAAGCACTGCCAGGAGTAATTCCTAAATGAAGAGCCAGGAGTAACCCCTGTGCATTGCTGTGTGTGACCCAAAAAGCAAAAAACACACACACACACACACACACACACACACACACACACACACCAAAAAAAAACACAGCAAGGCAGCAACAAAAGATCCAAAAGCAACATAATAGGGGAACTGACACAGCATAGTTGGGGGGTGGGTGAGAGGGAGCAGAAACATGATTGGTATAGTGCTGGAGTTATGTCCGTAAGAAACCATTATTTATAGTATTACAGGCCAAAAATAAATAACATTACCCACAAAGCACCTAAACTATAGATATTACCATGTTTGCCTTTAGAACTTTCTAATCATGTATATTCTCATATAGTGGTATAATGTTTATTAGAAAACATGGACTATTACATTCTAGGCAGAGAAGATGAAGGAGCCCGGGGGTGTGCTCTTGTAAGAATGATCAACAGTACAGGAGAAAGTGCCCTCTGGCCCCAGCGGGGACACAGTGCGCTGAGTAAATAACCTTTTACCTTCCCTTGCTGCCATCTGGAAACACTGCGGCAGGTTCTTGTTCTCTGAGGCGTCAGTGGCTTTCAGACTTGGTCCTTCCTAGTGATAATCTGCACTGACTCAGTTGTGCATGTACACAATCAAGTGAATCAAGTGGGTTCCCGAACAATGAGAAAAATACCTTCTTTATAAGAACAGGATGGGCTTTCCTTCAAATAATTTTCTAAAAGCATAGTATGTCCTATTTATTCTGAAATGGTTTAATTGGACTCCATTTCCACTCATTAATCTCATTATTGTATACATAATAGTGCCTCCTTTTTTTAAAATACAATTAAAGTGGATTTTTTTCCCTAGCTATATGCAGTACAATCTCCAAAATGTCAGTTGCTCTATTTTAAATATTCTAACAGCTAAACTATTCTGTATTCTGTTGATATTTGCTGAAAATACCTGTGAAGCTGAAGTTTTATTTTTTGGGCTACACCAGCAGTACTCAGGGATCATATATGGTGCTCAGGACAATGCACTATCGCTCCAGCTCAAAGCTGAACAGTTTTAAGTACAGCATCTTTATTTGGAAAAATATGAGTATCTAAATCAAGAGTATGTACCTGTAAATTTAATCATCTTTTTTTCCCTTTTTTGTTTTAGTCAAATACTGGAGATTATGTCAGCAGTGAGAGATGAGGATCCTCTGGAATTAGCCAATACACTTTATAACAACACTATTAAAGTATTTTTTCCTGACATATAATTGACATATCTACTTCCCATCATGTATATACAATAAAGGAATTCTTTGGAATGAGTTTGAAGAGGTATTGTATTATATATTGCTGCACACCATCTCCCTCATTTTTATCTGGAAGTCAGAACCAGCTTTTTGAAATGTCATTAATGTCTGTCTTAGCTCAAAGCAATGAAACTTCTAAGTACTTTATTTTGTAATTGCTACAAAAGTCCAGAAGGACACTTTTGTGTCAACACTGTAAGCACAGAAAGGCTAAAAATTATACTGATAATTACATCAAAATTAAATTATCAGTACAGTCTGGTATGTACCAAAGTTTAGTTCAACTCTCACAGCCTCTGAATGACTTTCAAACAGCTCAACTACAATGATTCTCTCAAATTTCAGAACAGTATCTCAAGTCACTTATGGCAAATTTTGTTAGTTATAAAATACTCTACATATAGCCTTTATCTCTAGTCCAAATTACTTTATTTCCTTGATATAATGAAGCTTCCTCTGACTTGCATTGTTATTCTCCCACTGTTTTCAGAAAAATAGGGTCCAATTAAGATACATTATATACTTTGAGGTATCTTTGGCACAGTTGACGCACCGTGTTATCATTGTATCGATTAAAAAGCTATTTTTTCCAATTTTGTCATAAAAACGTGAAAACATTTTATTCTATGTACAATAATGTACACAAATTTAAATAGGTCACCAAAGAGACCAGAAGTAATTGAAGAGGTATATTTACAGTAGCACATCACAGTAAACGGAAAACCATTCACAGATTCAACAATGATACTGTTTTTGTGCTTGTTTACACACTGAAATGAAGCATATGACTCCATTTCGGATGAACTGAATTTTAAACAAATACCTCATTGATTAGTAAATGCTACTTTAATCAGTCAGAATCATCATCAATATGTTCTTCAGCTGCTGTGCCTGTCTGCTGAATCACTCCACCGTTTCTTTCTCTCTGAACATCATCATCATAATCTGTATTGTCATCTTCGTTCTGTTCCCTATCGGATTCGGCAGCGGCGGCGGCAGCAGCAGCAGCGGCGGCAACAGCTTCTCTTACCGCTTCCCCTGGGTTTTCATTGGGTGCGATAAAACCATTGTTGTTAGATATATTTGAATTATCCTTGGTATCATCTTCGATGTACACTTTTTGATGGCACATTGGACAAGTATCCTGAATGTACAGCCATTTCCGAAGGCAAAGTGCATGGAAATAATGGTTACACGGTGTCATACGAGCAGATGTTGTAAACTCATGGTAGCAGATTGCACATACATCATCTATTTCTTGTAAGCGGCTCCCTTTTATTTCAGGAAGTGAATTAATTTTCTTAACGGCAGTCCTACGATTCATGAATGTCTTCCAGCCATTTTTTGCTTGTAAGTAGATGTTAAAATAGGCATGTAGACACATCATACAAGCCCGGATTTTACTTCCAGACTCAAACATCATAGTATAAGCCCCATTTCCGAACATTACTACTCCAAATATAAATTCAATAATATTGCCTGTTGAACGAACATAGTAGACATAATCATCAAGCTTTTCCCAGAGGACATTATAGTAGCCATCAATCATGAATAACGTATAAACAGTAAGAGAAACTATTACTTTTAAGCAGAGTTCCACACAAAAGGCTGTAACTGCAAATAACCATGTATTTAGTGCATAGTGATGCCAAAGAACATAACTAAGTAGAACAGGAAGAATAAACAGGCAAGCAGAGACAAACAGCACAGGGAAATGTCTACGGAAAGATGACACATGAGAGGCACTGAGAGACATCAGTACAGGGTCTGTCATTCCATGGATGAAATGCAGGACTGCAGTTAGTAAAAGGCACATGTTTCTACTGAGGCGAATAAGTCTTTCTTCTGGTCTCAGCCCACTTAAACCAGTTTGAAGAGCCAAAATAAAAAATAAAACAGGTGCCACAAAGCCAAGCCGCCTGTCGTCTTCTTCAGTTGATCCAATAAAGGCCAATATTCCAAGGCCCAAATAATGGGCTACCGAGGAGATCACAGCACTCATCCCCAGGACAGTTAGTGTAGAATCACACCCACTAATTATAAGGTTGCAGATGAGGTCCCAGAAATCATCCCAAGAAATAAGGAAGGAATCAGTCTCATTTGCCATCCTTAAGATGTACATTAACACTGTAGCTTGAGCTGTAATTCTTGTTAGCCAAAAGACTCGAAGTATATCGGGGAAACGAATCCTCTTCCACGTGTCTTCCATCAGTAGCTGTAATCCATAAATTCGGTACATGTGCCTCACTAGAAGATAAACATATCGTGTGGAATAATAAAACCACCTAAGTTTCACTGCCAATACAAGTACTGTATTTAATGTGAGAATCAAGAAAGAAGTAAAAAATAAAGTCTCTCGTATGTGGAATGGCAGCTCTGTGATTAAGCCTATTACTGGAACCAAGAGATCCAAAATGATTAACTGCGAATAGATGGAATGAATCTGGAGTAGTGTGATGTATCCAATTCCAAATCCTAGCTGTAGAACTATGAGTGCCATCCAGAGTGAGGGCCCTTTTCGAGGAAGCAGCTCAGTTCCCAAACCTGATGTGTTAGAGGCACCATAGAAGTCAATGTGCAAAGAAGCATAATAATTTACCAACACTGACGTTGCAGCTAATAGAAAAGCTGAGCTGTACATGTAAAATCTGAAAAGTGATCGCTGTGACAAGATTAGAACAATACTGGATACAAATATACCTAAAAAGAAGAAGAAAGAAAAAGTTAAACACCTTTAAGACTTTTTCCAATCACGATCCTTATTTTCAAATTCCTAAAGCAACTCAAATAGTTCTCTATATCCAGACAGGAAACTACTAAATCATACATGTTTTAACAAGGTTTCAAATCTTGGAGAATTATATGTTTTACTTTCATAATCATTAAAAATACTATCAACAAAATGGAAGGAAACCTTTTGTTCCTTAGAATTCTTTTGTTTATGGGCCACGCTTAGCAGTATTGAAGGGACCTTGTGGTGACAGAGATGAACTCAGGGATTACTGCAGAGTATGTGCCGCAACCCGCCGAACTATCTCTGTACCCCCTAGTAGAATTCTTACGAGAATTCTTCTGGAAGCCCAAAAGTCACTTAATTCCTCTTTTTCCTCTAACTAAACTGCCACCTTTTTCCCTGTTCATTAAATTTGAGTGATCATCCATATGTTCAAAACCAGTTTTTTCCTATGCATATTTTTCCTGCAGATTTCAGAAATGCCTTCAAGTTCCATTTTTCTTGCAGATTAATGAGTCTTTCTTCAAGCAGCAAATCCTTCACTTTTTATTTTTAAATAAAAAAGGATTGATGAGCTACTATACTTTTCACTATTTTATTGTTTAACTTTCAGAAAACCATATTCATTTTAAAAAAGGTACTCATTCCTCCCTCCATTCCATATGCATCCAATATAGAGTGTGTCTTTCCTCTAACAAATATTCTAAGTGAAATTACATTAAACATTATCAAGGGTTTCAACTATGTAAACAACGTTAGCCACTTACTTATCTAGTTCCAGTCCACATTGTAACTGTTAACAGTGTCTCTAAAACCTCGAATTGCATCTTAAATAGCTCTCACTGGGAGTTTCAGAAGTCAGTTAAAGATACCATCATTATTCTCTTAATGTTACTTCTAGCTCAATTTCCCTCAAACTTGACATTAAGTTTCCAAATTCTACTGTCACTGTCCTCCTGTTGTTCATGGATTTGCTCCAGCGAGTGGGCCCAGTAACGCAGGCCCAGTAACATCTCCATTGTGACAACTGTTACTGTGTTTGGCATAGAATACTTCACGTCATGGGTAGCTTGCCGGGCTCTCCGCGTAAAATTTTGAAGAGCAAAATAAGAACATTCTCTTGGTTATTACGAAAATCTCAGTCAAAATATTCTAACATTAAAAATTTAACACCTATAATTCTCCCTTTTTACAGTGATACCAAGCACGCTTTGTCTCTAAAAACTCAAATTTGTCTAGATTCAACTACAAAGCACAATAAATTACCTTTATTTCTCTGCTAAAAAATGCCTTTAGAGTTTTTTAATTAAAAAAAATTTAAATGGCTTAAAAATCACTATCAACTAGGACTTAACTGCTATAAAGTAATATTCCTCCCAACCCTCCACACCACTTCTTTCCTAAACAGTACTATCTTTTCTGCTTTGCACTTGTATTCACATTCTCTCTACTTGGTAAAATGACCCTATCAATTTCCCAAATCCCTGTTTGTTTAAATTCAGCCTACAGACACATATTCTTCTTCTTTTTTTTTTTTGGTTGGCCACACTTGGCGATACTCAGGGCATCAGGGCATATTCCAGGTTCTGTGCTCAAAACCCACTCCTGGCGGTGCTCAGGGGACCATCTGGGATGCCAGGGATCGAACACAAGTGGTTCATGTGCAAGGCAATCGCCTTAAGAAATCAGAAATTAAAGGAAAAACTGACAAAACTCCAAGATAAACATCATCTCCCTATCATATCCACAATGATTCAGCATGTAATCAAGACAGGCAATGGAGCTATTTCACAATCCACTGCATTTTTTTTTCTTTTCAAAAAAAAGGGCTAGTTCTTCTAAAAGATTACTTTGCCCAGCCAGAATCTAGAAAAAACCCAAGTGCCTGAGAACAGATGACTGGTTAAAGAAACTTTGGTATATCTATACAATGGAATACAATGCAGCTGTTAGAAAAAAATGAAATCATGAAATTTGCATATAAGTGGATAAACAAGGAGAGTATCATGTTAAGTGAAATGAGTCAGAAAGAGAGGGACAGACAAAGAATGACTGTGCTCATTTGTGGAATAGAATGCAACATAATAGGAGACTAACACCTAAGGACAGTAGAAATAAGGGCCACAAGGATTGCCCCTGGGCTTGGAAGCTGATCTCATGTGCTGGGGGGAAAAGTAGCTAGGATGGAAAAAGGAGCACTAAGTAAATGATGGTTGGAGGGATCGCTCAGGATAGTAGATGCATGCTTAAAGTAGACTATGGACCAAACATGATGGCTGCTTGATACCTGTACTGCAAACCATAACACCCAAAGGACAGAGAGAGTAAGAGGGAATGTGTCTGCCATGGAGGCAAGAGGTGGGAAAGGGTGGGGATGGGGGGAGGGATACTGGGAATATTGGTGGTGGAGAATGGGCACTGGTAGAGGGATGGGTACTTGAACATTACCTGACTGAAATGCAATCATGAAAGTTTGTAAGTCTGTAACTGCACCTCACGGTGATTCATTAAAATTAAAAATAAAAATTAAAAAAAGATTACTTTGCCCGTAGATTTATAATTTATGCTGTGCCAACATGTTAGATCATATATGAACAGAAGATTAGAAAACCATCAAAGACAATACAACACTGCCCAAGAATTCCCAGATCTACCTCCTAGGCCTCTAATAATCTCCCACAGCTGACAGTGGGAAAGGAACCTTTTAGTAGAAAATGAATTTTCTTAGCATAATTAGAAATCTTTTCCAAGGGTAGTAACAAAGAAATAGGATTAATTCAGTTATTATATGCCTTATGAAATCTTACCTTCTCTAATAGTAAAAGTATCTTTAAAATGAACCCAAACCGAACCAAATTAACTTCAATTTCATTTATTCAACTGAAAACAGAAAGGGAAATCATCATACAAGGACTTTGTTATATTTGCCAACTTGCTAGTCACAAAGTGGTAAATTAATCTTTATGAATACTTATCACTTTTACTATAATTAATAACCTCTTTTTATTTGAATAAAGTATTTCTCCCAAGGCTGAGTTTTTTTATGTAAAAATAAAAGAATTGTTTGGAAATTAGAAATACTTTTAGAGAAAAATAATTCCATTTTACTTGCATCAAAGGGGGGGAGAAGAGGTGGATAAGATAGGCTAATAAATAATGTGGAGACTCCAACTCTGAAGTTCAAATGTGATCTACTACTAGGTACTACTCTTCCTTGATTAAAACTATCTCTCAAGAAATAATCGTGACCTGAGATTTCAAGAAAGTAAAACTGTCTTAATTCTGAGAGTTTGCAGGTTAATGAGTTCTTAAATTTTTTTATACTCATGTTCCGGGGCTAAAGCGATAGCACAGCGTAGGGTGTTTGCCTTGCACGCAGCAGGCCTGGCCAACCCGGGTTCAATTCCTCCGCCCCTCTCGGAGAACCCAGCAAGCTACCGAGAGTATCTCGCACGCACGACAAAGCCTTGCAAGCTCCCGGTAACGTATTCAATATGCCAAACACAGTAACAACAAGTCTCACGATGCAGATGTTACTGTGCCCACTTAAGCAAATCGATGAACAACGGGAGGACAGTTCTACAGTGCTACTCATGTTCCAGGGCTGAAATGATAGCACAGCAGGTAGGGCATTTGCCTTGCACACAGTCGGCCTGGCTGACCAGGGTTCGATTTCTCTGCCCCTCTCGGAGAGCCCGGAAAGCTACCGAGAGTATCTCGCCCACACGGCAGAGCCCGGCAAGCTACCCGTGATGTATTCAATATGCCAAACACAGTAACAATAAGTCTCACAATGGAGATGTTACTGGGCACACTCGAGCAAATCGATGAAAAACAGGAGAACAGTGCCACAGCTACTCGTGTTCCTGTGCATGGAATGTCAGAAGAATCAATTCTCATTTCACAAGAGAAAAAGCACCAAATCTCCCAGATCGCAGTCCAAATGCCAGTAATCACTAAGTTTCCTCAAATTTTCACAACTTCAGACATAAAACTCTTAGTATTTATGATGTATGTAGATAGTTTCTTACTAGGAATTACGAGCACTTGCATTCAGGAAAGCTACCTATAAATGGTGCTTTAGAAAGAAAAAAATCACCTTTAGACAATGGAATGTAGAATTAACTGAAATCAACAAGGATTTAATTCTCTAATGATTTGAGAATTGCAAAGTAAGAGGCAAGTTATCAAGATCAATTCAGAAGTTTTGATGCTATTTATGGAATAAATTCCTAAACGCGCTCAAGTTGGACTACCAAAACAATAACAAGATAACAAGCACAAAATAAAAATTACTTTATGCATGATACCTAACATGAGCTTAATTCTTTTATGTAAAATTCTTTCTGCAAGTAACCCTTTCTGGAAACTAAAGACTGAAAATCAGAAAAAAATAAGACATTTTGTGATTTACATGTACAATTCTTCCAAGCATCTTAAATGCCTTTAAAACTTATTCTAAGGGGATGTAGATTTACCGGGGATGTAGCTGAATGGTAGAGTACATAATAAAGCACTGGATTCAGTCCCTAGCCCTCCCCACACACTCAGAGCAAACTGTGAGCTACTACTACTACTACAGAAGGAGGGACTGCACAGCAATAAACAGTATGACTACCTTCCTCCCAAGGGAGCCTTAAGCAAAAGCAATGAAATGTAGAACGAGTATCTCAAAATGCTATGGATAGGTGTATCTGATAAGCTATAGTATATATCACAGTCAGATTTAAAAAAAATAGTATTCTAACTTTGTTATCTGTAAAAAAATTAAAATGTCTGAAAAGTATTTTTTTTTCTTTTTGGGTCACACCTGGCAATGCACAGGGGTTACTCCTGGCTCTGCACTCAGGAATCACTCCTGGAGGTGCTTAGGAGACCATATGGGTTGCTGGCAATCAAACCTGGGTCAGCCCCACGCAAGGCAAATGCCCTACCTGCTGTGCTATTGCTCCAGCCCCCTGAAAAG